ATTTCTATTTATATTAATATTAATAAAAAATATGGAGTATTAACTAAAATTATTATTATTATTTAAATTTAAATAAGATCTATTCAGATTATATCTATTCTATTCAGATCAGTGATACAATTTGTTAAGATCACATAAGCTTTTTAAAATTAGATTCGATTCAATAATATTAGTTCAGACGACAAACGTAGCCTCAAGAATAAGTTAAAATGTTACAATAATAAAACCATGAAAAATAAAATAGAAAAATTAGAGGAACAGAGGGAGTATCATATACTTAAGCTATTACTCCACTTAAAATATAAAGTGATTAAAAAGATGCAATCACATTACTCTTTTCTTCTGTAATCACACCCACTTTTATTAAGGATAAAATAAGAGTTTACATTACTTTTTCAACTATTCTTGAAAAGTACTCCGTATGAAAAAGTCCATTTGGAAAGTTCTTTCCCATCTCATTTAATTGATCTGTGAGTATTTTAAGATTGAACATTATGTTCCAAAAAAAATTAAACGCTCATACCTTATTGGATCCATTTGAACACGATGGCACAAAATAATGAAAATATATTTTCCAGTTCGAATTGACACGACCTCGAAATAATCTCAATATGGAAGAATCAAAGACAAATCTAACCTAGCAACTTTATCCTTTTATCAAAAATGTGAATTTTTAATTTCTTAGTTTTTTGAACATGAAAATGTTAAAGAGTTAAAGAGGGTTAATTGAAGTATCTGTTTTTTGACTTTTTCTAAAGAAAGTTGGAATATTTAATTTACTTTTTATTCAAAATAGGGGAAGTGAACAATACATATTCTGTGACGTATATCCTTTTGGACTACTTCTCCAATTTCACCCACTCATGCGAAAGTAAGGCAAGGTGGAAAATAATTACTCATTACAAATCATTACTTGGTATAGAGAAAAATAAAAAAAAAATGTGACTACTTTTCTTAGTGAAAAGTTGATAATTAGTTTAGTTGAAATAACGGCTGAAGTTATAAATGAAGTGGTTGAAAAATACTTTCTATGTTCTTTACTAAATACCCCGTAGTAAACAAAATAATATACACCGTACGAAAATGTAAGATAAAATGAATGTTTTCGAAAAAATTAAAATTTTATTTTTACTTTTATGGAATAAAAAAGTGATTATTTAAGTAAGAGTAAAAGCTGTAGTGCTTGTATGTTTGAACATAATTTACCTACTTTTAAGTGCTTTTGGGTATCAATACATTATTTAAAAACAAGGAAAATAATGATGACCTCATTTTCCCGCTCATTAATTTTGGATTATATATGACAAGTGTGTATTTTATGGTAATATATTAATGTATTTTATTATTATATGTTTTTTAAAAAAGAGGAAATATTAATTAAATTCGATATAATATTCCTTATTTTCTAAACATAAATGAATAATATATAAATGATAATATTTCGTGTACCATTATGGTAGTAGTATATAATTGGTAACTTATATTATACTCCGTAATATTCTTTATTATGCATATAAAGAAAAAGATGATATTTAATTTTGAGACTAGAAAATATATGTTATTTTTTTCAAACATTAATATGTAAACCAATTTGAATAAAAGTATAAAATTATACCAAATTATTGATATTGAATTTTTTTAAATGTACTTTTTTAAATATTTTTTTCTAATATATTTTAGAGATATTGTTAATGCAAACTTTAAGTTCAAAAAGTGAACCAAATAATTAAATATCAATAGATGGAGTATAATTTTAATTTAAAATTCCTCAAGATATAAAGAATGAGACAAAAATGAAAAAAGCCTTAATTTCTACTGAGTGATTATTTACAATTAGTGAGTATGATGATTAATGAGTATTAAAAAAGAAATACTCCGTAAATGTATCCAAGAATCTAGAATTTGCAAGTGATAGTAATCTTGTTCTTAGTGATAGTCTAAACTTATTTTGGATTTCTTATTATCCAAGTTGGCCATTCATGACGTTCATAGGCCAGTGTATAAGTCACTTCTATACTTGTATATATATTGGGTTGTAATTAATGAAACTTTCTACACCAAATTTTACCCCTCCTTATGGACCCAATTTGCACAAATTAAACCACTAAATTATACTTCTTACATCTCACAAAGAGTTCTATTTTTTTTGCTTTTGACAAATTTAAGAAGTGTATATTCTGCAGTTAACTTTCAAATTTTAGACTTAAATATGATTGGTAAAAATAGGATATGATTACTCGTAGACTAATAATAAGTAGATACGATCTGATAGGTTAGACAAGAGTCAGTATGGATAAAATAAACTTTTTAATGAAAAATAGAAGTGTTTTCTGAAAAGAATTAAAGATAAATATGGAATTGTTTTGTGCAATTGAGGGAGTAGGTGGGTAAAAAAACATTGGCTTATTAGCATGGCATGATATGCAGATACCCAAGATTTTCAAATGCAAGCATTAGGTCTTCAAACCTTCACTAATGTATAGTGTCTTTCTTGTCGTTTGGAACTTTGAAATATTAATCCTAGCAATTGGAGGTAAGCATCTGCCATTAATTAAGAAAGCTAATGACCTTATTATCATATCATATTTGTGATAAATATCTTCTCTAACACTATCCTATTTCTTCAATTTTTTTGACCAAAAATTACATTTTTGACTGTCAAACTTATATTCAAGATGCTTGATAAAGTTGTCTTTTGGTAGGTAGGGTGTAGTTTATAGGGTTTTTAAAATAAAAAAAAATACTCCGGAGTAATTTATTTTTAGCATTGTATCAAATTATAAATCTTTCTAAAAATTATTTCAGAGTACCTGTTTCGCTAGTGAAGTCTTCTACTCGTAATACAAATGGTTAGGTCTGTTAAATGGAATAAATAATACCCTCAGTCAAATTTTATTCAATTTTTTTCTTCTTATTTTTGCATTTAAAAAAATACTGACTCCTTTAAAAATCAAAACTCCCATGTTTTCAGGAACGGAAGGAGTAAAAGAGTCATGTAATCTCATGGGTGGCCCGAAGGGTGTGCAAAGTGGCCAACCGCACAGGGCCCTTTAAAATTTAGGGCACCATATTTTTAAATTTGTTAATAATTTTAAAGTAATAGTATTCTAAAAATATAAAATAGGGCACAAAATATAAATTTTGGACTGGGCCAATTTTATTTTTTCATTTTTCGGGACCGGCCCTGTGTAATCTCTTCCTTCGTAATGCTTTTAATGTAACTTTTTAATATATAATTTTTTAATTTTGCTCTATTTTTTAAATAAGTTGTATTAACCTCAGCCAAATATCATAAATGGAAATAAAAGAGACAAAGGGAGTACAAGTATTCTTTTGGGGGGTAATGCTAACCTGTTCTATTTGCTCAACACACCATTTGTTTCTTTTTTCATACGGAATATTACTACTGTAATCTGCATTGACTAGTAAAGCATAATCCCCTATCTAAAACAATTAATGCCACGTATCACTATTTTAAAACTAAGAAAACTTTTATTATATGCATTTTTTATTGACTATTTGATACAATAAAATATTTTTGTCATCTGTTATTTTATTGTATAACTTTTGACATATTTTTAAATTTTTTTTATTTCTATACCAACCTTTAAGTAAATGAATTGTGTAATGTGACATTCTTCTTAGGACGGATGAAATGAAAACCACTCTCCATTCTACGAAGTCACTTTTAATCCTTTCCAAAAAAACACTTTTTATTTTCTATTAAAATTTTTCTTTTACCCTTACTAATTGCGGAACATAACATGTTATTATTATATTATATCTATTTACTATTAATATACTCATCATATCTTATCTTACATTACAATAAAGTAACGAGAAAATTAAAAACTAACACCAAATTTACGCATTCGAATCTCACATTTTTTTAATGTGAAAATTTGTTGTGGGACCAAGGTAGCATATCCTATTACAAGTAAATTTGAATTAAAAAATCACAAACAAAAGTTGTGAGTCTGAGGTAGAATATCCTTAGAATATTGTGAAATTTGCACTAAATAGGACTAAAACATAATGACTTTTTTAATGTAGGACTTAAACTTTTTAATTCCCTAAATAGGACTTAATAATGACCTTGTGGAAGAAATAATGTCCAGTAATGATGGACATTTACTTGAATAATGACTACTTGATAATGATTAAAAGTCTTACATTGAGAAATAAAAACATATGGTCCTAGATTGGGAAAGTCATTATGTTTTAGTCCTATTTAGGTAAATTACTTAGAATATTATGAGAGAGAATATCCTACCATAAGTAAATTTTAGTAAATTTGAAAAAAATATTTTATTTTATCAAATATTAACGAAAAAGCATAAATAAAAGTTATCGGGAAATTAAACCGTAATAGTAACTAAGAAACTTGTTAAGCACGGAAGGAGTAGGATAGAAAGAGATAAGAGATAAACGCGTTCATAGATAGGGGGAGATTTAGAGAAAGAGAACATGAGTAGAGTAATAAAGAGAGGGGAGAACAAATAATGAAACAACCCCAAAAAAAAAAAAAAATACTCCAGAACGAATAAAAGCACCAGGGCAAAAGAAGCACTCCCTATATACGGAGTATTTATTTTTTAGGACAAATGGGAAAAAAAAATTATAGAACCGAGAGAGTAATAACAATACTAATAATAATAACATTGTAACAATAATATTTAGGTAAAACACTGATTTGCAGTAGATAATACATAGTACACCTAAAAATCTTCTACATTTTCACAAAATTTAAAAAAAAATGTTTAAAAGTAGAATAGATATGGTTAAAATTTAATGAGAGCCTTTTTGAGCAGCACAGTTTTATTTTAAAAAGAAAAAGTAAACATTTGTTAGGGGCGGAATAAAAATGAAAATTGAGCCACACATTTTTATTTTAAAAAGAAAGAGTGAAGTGTTTTTTAGACGGATAAAAAAAGAAGGAAGATGTTTTAATGAAAAATGGAGTATATAAATAAATATAGTGCAAGAGAACACTACCCACAAAAAATGTGCATGATTTATTCATCTAAAAAAATCACAAGAGAAAACAGCAGAAGATAAAAAGTTGCAGAAAGCCCTCATTCCCCAAAGTTTCAAAACAAAATCCATACAGCCTGCAGATTATACAAATCGTGCGGAAATACAATACTCAGCACTAATGATTCATAAAATTTAAAAATAAAAAAGACCCCAAAAAAAAAAGAAAAAAGTGGAGTGAGTGGCCTATCACAGTACTGATAAATCCTAATCTTAACAATAATAACATCAACTCGGATCCCACAACAATCCCAACCAGTACGAGGTTGCGGTAGACAGATGCAATTATTATTAATAATATTAATACTACTGGTAGTACATATGGGGTTGGGCTGCTGCATACCCGCCGTCGTACATCGCCGCCGGATTAGCGGCGCCAAACCGGTGGCCCTGGTGGTGGTGCATGAGGGCGGCAGCTTGTGCAGCGCCCATTTTGCTCAGAGCAAGCTGCATCTCATAGGCTGCAAGCTGATTGGTCGCTGCAACATCCACAGCAGGGATGTGACCGGCTGCCGGTGGCGGCAGAGGGGTGGAGCTTGTTCCCGGCACAGTCGGCTTACTTCCCCATGAACACTGCATTTCCACAAAATTAATCCAATTGTAATACCAAATTACCTCTTCAGGCAAGAATTTCAAGAAGAAAAAAAAGAGGGACTCCAAGGTTCCACTTTATAGCCTTATTACACTAATGGTGATACATTTACATAAGATAATTTGTTAATAGAAGCGATTTTCCTAACTTTTGCGAAACAAGGGAAAATGGAATGTAAATATTCTAGAAAATGGACCGTTTTCGATATCATTTCTGGGTTTCCAAACGGACCCTTAGTTGGAATCCATTAGGGGCTGATAAAGAGTAGTAAGAAAATTGTAGCTCACCTATCAATCTCCCTTAACATTATTGAGAAAAGTAGAGGGAAATATAAAGACTTAAGATTGATGAGCCCATTAGATGCATAATTACAAAACACATTAAATGCTGAACAGTGACAATAACGTTCTCAGCTCATGTCCTACCATGATAGGCTTCTATAGTGCCCACACCAAAGGAACAGAACACAAAAACATTCAAAAAATCGTGCTAAGATTTATTGTGTGCAGGTGGGGTGGGGATGAGTTTTGAAAAACAATAATGAAGGCTCAAACAAAAGAGGCACCTACTCCCGACATTTTCACATTTTGTGATTGCGAACTTTATTTTTTTCGTAAACTTTTGTGTTGTGGGGATGGGAATTGGGGAAATTGAAGTTTGCTTGGCCCAACAAGACTTTCTTGAAAACCTTAACTTCGGATCTTATTAAAAACGGTTTTTTTTGTGTGTAAGTTTTACTGGATTAGTTACATCTACCTTGATTTGGTCAAACTACCAAGTGCAGAAAGCATCAAACCCGATAAGTAGACACTGAAATCTTCTTAACGTCATTAGATTATGTCTTTCAAAGTTCGGGTCGTTAATCAAACATCTAAGGGTTTAGTTGTAATCTTTAAAACATCAAAGGTTAATGTGTTCGCCAAAAAGTACTTATACTACCAAACTAACAAATAAAAAGTGCTCATAATAATGTTAAGGGACAATTGGACATATATGTAACTAACATGCTGCTTAAAATGACAAACAAAAGTACCTTGATGGGTTTGGTAAATAGAATTCGGGCATTCCCAAGTTGAATAGCCCGAGCTGCTTCATCATGGCTACTATACCTAACAAATCCAAAACCCTTGTCACGCTGAACACGAACGTCTTCAATGACTCTGGCGCCAAAAGAATGGAAGAGACGGTGCAGATCAACAGAAGTAACCTGTGCATTATTATATCCAAAATGACAAGTGTGTAAAAGAAAGTTTAAAGAAAATTAAGATTCCAGAACAAAGGCAACACGAATGCTTTGTAAATTTCCCTCCAGGAGTTAAGGAGGCTACGGTAGACCATTCTGATAGTAAATGAAGGACAAAGTGAATGAGAATATGCACAAGAATTGTAGGTACAAAAAAACTCACTTCAGGGGAGAGATTGCCAACATAGACAGTTGTGTACTGAGGGTTGTTTTCGGGTGCATCTTCATTGGTCTTTTCTGCACCATCATCTGCAAAGTGAGGACAAAAGTGTAAACACAGCAATATTTTCATTTCATCAAAAGTGTGATTACGAAGTACAGTACACTTTTTTGCTGCTAGATACAACTAGCAAATCAAGGTTCTATTATTCTAAACAAGATGGTAGGCAACCATGGTCTTAAACACAAAAATTTGGCAACAAAAGTACACAGTAGCAAGAAGAATATCTTAGCATGATAAGCCATTTCATATTAAATAATTGTTTACCTGATGAGCCATTTGTTAATTCCACAACACTTTTAGCATCGGACATCTGCTTTTCTTCACTGGATCCAGCACTTTTTGTTGCCCAATTGCACCGAATTTGTCTACTTCCAAGCCACTTTCCTGCCATATATCATCATATAGGATAAGCAAAACAGCAGAAAGTCTGGAGACCATCAATATACAGAACTACCAAAAAAATACACAAATAGAGAACTGGAGCTGAGTTTTAAAAGAACAATCCCATTAACTGCAAAAAATGACAACACAATGAAGAAGACTGTTTTTATGCTTGACGTGACTAAGAGCATCTGTGGGATATAACATGAACAAAATGAAAGTGTTCATTGAATAATAATGTCCTTACCGTTTAAGTCATTTATTGCACTTTGCGCATCCTGAAAGGAAAAAAATAAGGGTATGACTTATGCCATTAATATTAAAAAATAAACAGAATATAACATAAGTGGAAGAAATATGCATTTATGCCTGCTGATTACGGAAAGAAACAAATCCAAACCCTCTTGAGCGACCAGACTTCTGATCCCACATCACTCTTGCGTCTCTGCATCGATCAGAATGAAGAGAGTGATTGTATTGTCATTCCAAGTGAAATTAGAAATTGGGATTGCTGAAATTTTAGTAAGATCAGAACAGAACTTACGAGCAGCTAGGATAAACTGAAAAACATGCATACAGGGTAGCATCTGTAATCTCTGGGCTTAGATCACCCACAAAAATGTTGAAGTGGCCTAAAGGGAAGAAAAATGTATACACCATTAAAGCAAAGAAAAAGAGATAATGAGAGATGAAGAGGGTTGAAGGATCTGATTAGGCAATCTAATTTTTAAAATTTAGAAGGAAAAAAAACATACTTGAAGTGTCCTCTCTTTGAGCACTGGCGTAGGCCCAATTAACTTTTATTGGCTGCCCAAACCTGCAATAAAAAAAACTTAAGAAGAGAACCAGCAAAGCCCAAAAGCAATAATGCAGATTTAAACTAAGGATTATACGAACTTACAATTGTCTTCCATTCAGACCCAGAATAGCAAGTGCAGCTCCATTACGGTCATAATAATCCACAAAACCATATGATGACTGCACATAAATCAGTACATAACCCATCAGTATTCTATCAAACCAGTTACAAATTTATAAATATTTAGGGCAGTGTGATATGATGATATCAATCAACGGTCTTCCTTGATTCAAAAACATATGCAGTTTGTGCAAAGCTAACTGGAAACAATGAGTTACTATTTTATACACTGAAGAAAGAGAAGCAAATAGCCAACAAAGCAGCTAAGTCATTCTGAAACAAGTGGATCGAACCGTTTTACACCAAGTCACTCATATAATGATACGATCCAAAGTCCATCCGGCCACTTTCTTTCTTATAAAAAAACTTAACTGAAAAAAAGATCAGGAAATGATTCCCTTATACAATTTAACATTAACTTTCTTTCAGCACTAACTCGGTCACCGATCCATAGTCTTGTTTTCTTGCAGTGAAGACACTCTCTGAAACAGATGCTATTTTTCATTTTGATGCTCTCTAATTTTTACTGCTTTTGGGATAAAATCTAAGATGCTATACAGCAATTATGCATACTGCATAAGGGATGTGAACAAGTAACATGAAAGAAAGAGATTACTCTGAAATACTGAAGGATCTACAAGTTGGTAAATAAAAAAACTTAAATAATAGAGCCAGACCCTTTCTTTTCTTATAAGCTTGCATCCTTCAAGGGGACCAGTACTCGCAAATACTTCTTGGAGTAGAAGTTCAGTCACTTGAGGGTGGATATTTCCAACGTATCTGCATTTGATGACACCATATCTTAAGTCTCAACACTGGGGGATGATGATGTGAGAATGAAAATCCAATAATACAGACAAAAATGAGACTTATCAAGCACACACATTCAGGCATCTCAAACACCAACCAACAATAAATGGCAAACATTTTAATCTCTATATGTATGAAGAACAAATAGTAGGCAAATGCCAACTGGCTGTGGAAGAAAGGACTTAGATTTTAGATACTAAGGTTTTGCACATTAAGTGAAATGCCTAATGAAACACTAACTATTTATGATTCATACATTAAACCAAAAAATACTAATGAAGACGGTGCAGTTTTTTCATTCCTGGGATTTCCTGGAACGATCATTAGAGAAATAAAAAAGTAACGACAGAAGAAAACCAATCTAACACACACAAATATAAAAAAAATGTAAGGCACAGGCACTCACACACTGCGGCAAGCACTTGTATCAAATCCAGGAGGTAGGTTTCCACTCAAGATGGGCTCTATCTGCAAATAAAATTTTAAATCACAAAAAGGAAGAACAAAAAAAACAAAGAAGTTGAAGGGGCAGGAGGCTACACATTAAGCTGTCCTAGACAACTTTTGGACGGACTCTTCAATTATATGTACCAACATAGTATAGGCAGCAGCTAACTCTATGACACATAAGACCATGAAGTCTTATATCATTAAAAAAATCTACAGATGCAAACAAAGAAGCAAAGTCAATGCTCATGAATAATGATACATTCAATAGCCAGCTATTTCAATTGGGAAAACCATGCCAGATGCTTAATCTCTCTTGCATCACTCAAAAAGCATGAAACTTGGTAATTAAGTCAAATAAATCATTATCATCATCATCATTGCATATATACTTAAAGGCAGCTCATGCGGGAACATGATACGATGCTGCAATATAGCATTATATTATACTCTGTATTATATTATTACTTGATAGGGATGCTCACATCAATAAAATTAAACAAATTACAAAGGAGAGAACATTATTATAAATTATGAAGACTATGTATGAGTGAGATACTTCTAAGAAAAGAAATGAACGCATATTTTTAGATAATAAAGAAGAGACGGGGCAAGTTATTTCATCTTTAGGACTTCGTACTACATGATAACCTTCTGGGTCTTACTACTATGTCTATTTTTTCATATTTTATGTGGTTGTTCTAACTTCCCATTTACTCCCTAGTCCTTACTCTATTGTTTGTTCCCAAAAAGGTTCCACCTTCCTTATTTTGAGGAAGGAATTGTGTAGTTTACACAAGATCTCTCTCCCAGCACAAAACTCAACCATAAATTTTTGCCTTTATTAATAACCATACCTGAACAACCTTTATTAATAATCATGCCATATCAATTGTGGAACCCTATTTTCAGTCGGAGGGAGCAGTAATTTTTTATGAGAATTAACTTATCTTTTCCAATCTTTCCCTTCAAAAATAAATGGATCACCTTGGAAATGGTATAGTAAGGAATAATTGTGTAGTGAGTTCAAACGCGGGGAATTGGGTAAAGATTAGATAACTTGTAAAGTATGAATTGATTTGAGCTACATAAAGTAACTCAGAATATGGCATGATGCATGACACAAATAATTGGAAAAAATTGGAAAAAATAAAGGGACAGCGATTGTGGGGTAGATGAAGGATTATTTTATCATTTGGAAGTACACTTGACCAATTTGTGCTAAGTGAGTATTCTTGAAGTATAAGTTCAGGGTGGGGCTAAATCCACACCCTTTTTGGTTAGATCCACTCCTCCTTTTATGCTAAATGGACAATTTTGTGCTTAAATGTAGGCTTACATCTATTTTTTCTCTTTTGCACTCTTAAGTGTAAAATTGTCTATATACAATATATGGACGGATTTAGCCTAAAAGAGTGTGGATTTAGCCACACCCATTATTTTATTAGGGTATAATTTTCATAAGTACATAAAAACATTTATGAGCATTGAAGAATTGACGAAAACAAATAAAATGGTGAAGTCTAGTAGTGATGGAGTACATGTGATTTAGATAACGTCTACAAATAATAGGTATATAGAGAAATAGAGTGTTGTACAAAATTTACATCTCTGCCAGCTCCTTAGACAGTAGACACTAAATCTAAATGATCATCTCTTTTCAAGCCAATTAAACCTTTTAAAAAGTTAACACCTAGTACTGAGTTAGTGAATGAATGAATCAAACCTCTAAAGTAATCAAGTCTGGAAAAAAAGAACACTTTTTTTTCAAAAGCGGAAATAATTAAATATAAGCAACCAAAAAATAAATCAACAGAGAACTAATGATAAATAAATCTGAATTCAAATCAAATGATTTTTAACAAGAAAAAGGGACAAATTACCGGCTGCGGAGCAAGAATCCCGGGATGGTAAAGCGATTGCTGCTGCATCAATGCTTGCTGCTGTTTCAGCCTATGCTGCTGCATCTTCACCTTCCTCTCTTCGGATGTGTATGAATATATGTAGATATAAAAATGAGGATTGAATGATAATTTAGGGTTTCAAAGGCGGAAACGACGGGAAGAATCCAAAATTATTACCCAAACATAATTTAAATAAAAAAATGAAAAGATGAAGAGGGAAAATTGATGGAAGAAAAGAAGAAAAAAAAGAAAGGAAAAAAAAAAGAAAAAAAAACCCTCGAAGAAGAGGGAGAGCTCTGCAAGAGAGAAGAGAGATAACAGAGTCTCGTATCTTATCGGAGATGTTTTGGTGTTATCTCGACCCGCTGGATTTTTCTTTTATAGGCCGCCCCATTAAGTTCGAGAATTGGGCTTACCTCTCTCCATCACAACTTTTATCGGCCTTTTGTTTAGGAGTAAAACCAATTTTGTTGGGCTTAGTAGGAAATTTTAAAATTTAACTTTACTTAATACTTATTTTTATTAAAATCAGATCAAATCAAAAATAGATTTCAGTAAAACCAGAATAAGATCAGATTAGAACTTAATCGATTCAAATCATAACACTTTGTTTAGTTCATGTAATTTAAGTTACATGAACACATTCCATTTTCCTTTATTTATTTTAGTTTTGCATTGGCAAGTTTATTTTTATACACGAAATTAAGTGCAAAAAAATGAGTTGAACCACATAAAACCTGTAAATTATATCCTACATCCGGTTGTACAGCTCTTCCTGTATAGCTGGCAAAACTTGGCAGTAGCACCAGCGATCGGAAGAGGAAGAGACGAAAGCGAGAAGAGACGACAATTAAAGTATGGCATCCAATGATTGGAAGAGGAAGAAGGGGATGCCGACGCCGAAGCCTAGGTGTGATGAAGTGAAGCACGTGACCGCAATCGACTGGAGAAGGTGGTGGCGGATGCAAAAGGAAACCCTAACTGCATCGATGGTCGAGATCATGCACTGAGCGTAGATGTATGGGATGAAGATGATGGATGCTGTTGACTATAAGTATAATTAGATTATTGAAATATATTTTCTAAATCTGAAGAGAATTAATAGTACGTTACTTGAGAATGAGCAATATGTTACAGAGTATTTGAGAATGAGCACTACTTTGTTTCAGAATGAACTGTGTGAAATTGAACACTAGTTATTTTAAAATGAGTACAACGTTATTTGACAATGAGTACTATGTTAATTCAAATGAACACTTATGGTTGGACTTTGTTTAATTCATGAACATTTATTATATGGGTAAATTATAAATTGCTAGACTTTGTTCAAATAATGAACAAAACCCAAATCGGTTGCCCAAATTACAACTTTTGAACTACTTAAACAGCTTCAATAAAGACATTTTTTTGGTGTCTAATTCAAAACTTTAGATACAATATACAGAATAAGTACCAATGTGAATGGTATTTAAAGGTTTAAACTTTTTTGTTATCTCTCTCCAATCAACACATGATCCACAATGATTTAAACTTCTCCACGCATTCATCCATATTATTAATGGAAGTACTCTTAGGGCTTTGAATTGGTTAAACATTCAAATTTTGGACAATTAAATGATCATACTCCGTATAAAATAAGCACAACTAAACACCATAACATTTTTCATATATAAAAAAATGATAGTTTCATTAAACAATTGAAATGCCCTAAATATTCAAAATCTTAGCTCTTAGGGCATTGACATCAATGATGAAACAAAAAAAAACACCAGAGCAGGGCTTCAGTTTTTGAGTGGAAACTGGGCAGCCAGCCCCAGCCATGCCTTGTTCTCTTCTTGCTTTGAATAAGTTCTCACAGAGTTGTCTTTCTGGTATGGTGCTTTGGAAGTAATCCTGTGAATTCCATCACATTTCCAACATCAAAACACAAATCTGATGAAATCTAAAAACACATTTAAACAAAAAAAAAATTGAAAGACATCAGGCAATTTTAATTAATTTAAAATGATTGATTATTTGGTAAAAGGGAGTTTTTTTTTTTGAAGTAAATGATTTCTCAAACAGCTACTAAAAGTGTTCGGTGAACAACTTTTCGAAGACATTTTTTACCTTTAAATTCTCAAACAACTAACGCATATTACCAAACAATTTCTTCTCAAACAACTAACTGCTAACAATGGTGTGCCAAACAGGGTCATAGGGTTTAGTTTGGTTTGGTAATTGCAAGAACAAAGTTAACTTTCACACTTTGAATTGAAGAATAAGGCTTGCCTGTTCTTTCTCTTCTCCAAGAACCTGGCAAGGGAAGTTCTCCTAGCAATGGGCAAATCTGCAGCAGCAAAACAACAAGATTTACCACTAAGAATTTCCCCTATAAGAAAGGCCAAAATTTCTGAAATCTTTTATTCGTTTATAAAAGAAATGAATCTTTTCTTTTCAAAGAAACTTACGAGAATAAGGTGTCTGGTTTTGGAAACCAGAAACAGGACCGGCATCATCAGTACAAAGTGAGATGTTTGGGGTTTGGGTGTTCATAGCCAAAGTAATAATTTCCTTAGCTTTCTCAGCTGGAAAATCTTTGAACACCATCACTTGACCATCATAGAGTATCTTCATTTCTTTAACAACCCTTTCTCCATGTGCCTCTCCCACACTCTCACACACACAACAAAACTATGATTAACCTGATGCAGTTTCAAATAAGCTCGGGAACACGTAAGGGCACGTTTGGTTGGCCGTAAAGACATGCCAACATTCCACATGTTTGTTTCACATTATCTTAGTTAGATACAAATTGATTTTCCCAAGCATTTCATAATAGTACAATATAGTACCTAATAGTCTTCCCAAAAACAAATTTTGTGGGTGACCCATATTCTCACGTGTTGGTTTTCGTCCAAAAGTTCACATTACATGCCCAAACAACAGTTTAAACTCATTACTTTGTTAATGTTAATAAACACACAATTTGATAATAATTGGTCTCGCCTAATAACAAGACTTCCATAAGTATATATACATGAGATTCCTAACTAAAGTAGGAATACATAATATGGTAATAAACATAATATGGAAACGTATAATATAATATGGAAAGCTATGACAATATCTCCAGCAAAAGAATACTGATACTTAGCAAGCAGAAACAAACCTCGGGTCGATCTTTTTGGCAGGGAACAAGTTCAAGGGGACGAGATTCGAATTTGGGGCGGATTTCTCAATCATTGGAATCAGATTCATTGTTGCGGGCGTTCCTGTTCCACATACACATAAAAAAAACACAGATTCAAGCATCCTATTAACCAACAGAAATGAAATTGAAGTGGAAATACACAAATTACACCTAAAAAGTTGGGATCTTTGAGAGGGTTTATGGAGGTTTGGGTTTGAGGGGAAATGAATTTTTTAAAAAAAGTGAAATACCTAGCGTGAGATCTGCGGCGGCGGCGGCGGCGGCGGCGAAAGAGCCGTTTTGCTTGAGGTATTGGCTGAAGAGGGCACAAGTGTGTGAGAAATTGGACCTCTGGCCGGAGAATCTGCCGGAATCCGGTGAACCCATATCTTCCGTTGGAATCTCAGCAACAGGCGAAGGGCATGACTGAACAATAGAAGCACGAGGAAGAAGATATGGCGTTCGTCGATTCTTTGCCCACTTGCTAAATTTAATCTGTGGAGTACTGTTTTTTTCTTTTTCCTCTTTATTTATTTATATGTATATTGGGCATATGAACGCACGCATTTGAGAGTAAAAAAAAAACGTGTTCCTCGTTCCCAGCAATTCCGGCAGCGGGACTTGTACGTTATTGCAACGACCATTACAAAAAGTACTGTTCGTTAAGAGTAGATCTGGACATGGACGGACTACTACTATACCCGTGAAGTTCTGGTTTTGGCACAAAAGAAAAAGGAGAAAAAAAATTAAAATAGGAATAAAATATAAAAAATATATTAGAAACGTGATTTCATATGTTTATTTTCAAGAAAGAATTTAAAATACATATACAATGCAATATATAATATTAAAAAATATTATGAAATATTCACATAAAAAATCATATGATCCCATACAATGACATAAAGTGCTAATTTTAGGAGGGTTGTTAATTTTGATGATAATTATTGGTAGATACATGATAACAATGACATGTCATATTTGTACGAGAGACAAATTAAATGTGAATAATGTACGGACATAGAAAACAATTCTCCAAGATTTATAGAAAGTTTGTTTGAGTACAAGTTCTCTGTGGAGGCAAAAATATTCATTTTTTATGTGTCATTAGGTTGAGAGATTGATATGTGGATTGGCTTATGCCATAGTGCAATTATAAAATTTCGCATTAGCATTTTATACTAGTGTGAGCCATCAATGTACCAGTATAAACCCTCGGTGTACACCAAGTGTTGTACACCTAGCATGAACTTACAACTCTCTTAATAAATACTCTCTTCTTCTCATAATAAAACTTAAAATTTAATTTTACAAAATTTAAGAAAAATATTAAAAGATGAAAAATGAGTGATTATAAATTCATGTGAAGAAAAAGAAAGTTTTTAAGTCACATATTTTTTTCTTACTGGAAAAGTTAAGACTATTTTATAAAAGAAAGAAATTTATTTGTGTCGGAGGGAGTGTTAGGCCTTGGACAAGCCTCCCAAATACCAAATTAATTCAACCAAAAGGAAAAAGCGCTTAGACCATGGGGTGTGGGTGGTCGTGGTGCATCGTGACACTTGGCGCCACTCCGCCACCTCACCCTTTATAAAGGCTTGGATGGTGATGCATATCATGGTCATCACGACGCTTTCTCTCCCCAAACTAGTTGCTTCAATTTCTAATTTTTTCTATTGAATTAGCGGTGGCACTAGAATAGTATCGATCTAGTTTTCAAAGAATGGTGACACGAGTGGCTGACAAACGGTTGCTCGACGATAGCTGATTTTTGTGACAGTAGAGGTTTATTTGTGTTTGACGAATTTAATTGGATGAAACAAATGGAAGGGAACTAAAAGGCCGAGGACAAAAAACAATCCAAACGTAGACTAAAATTGACAAACGAACGGTGACGTCGTCGTCACCGGACAACACATTGGCGACGGGGGATGCTAAAGTGAATCGGGTTTTATGTTTTCCTATAAATTTGGTAATAGTAATATTTCTACATGGTATCAATGTAACGCTCTAGAAAGTTGGGGTGTTACAATCAAAGCAAGTTATAGTCCACCTCATCTCTTTAGGTGTCCTTCTATACATTCATTTCTAGCGGCGCTAATGTTTAGCCCAATTTTTCGTGTGGAATGTATACCCAATGACATATGGCCTGTTTAACCCAATTGCTCATCTCGATGTCCATATTCAGCGGCTCATGGTCCTTTAGATGTTGGCACTAAAAAAATAAGGGATGAGAATCTACTTACAAGTGGTCAACCTGTTAGATTCGAAATGACCCGGTTGCCACTTGAGGGGGAGTATTAGATGTATCCTACATCGAAAAAGTAAGAAAAAAATATTCATAATATAAGTTCTTGAGTTGAACTGAGTAATCGATTCAATTCAATCTTTTAATGTAGTTCAGCTCAAGTGTCTTAAATTCAATCCAATCCAATGACTTTACCTCACCTTAAATTCTATCAAATTCTTTATTATCCAAAATTCATTTATTCTATTCCTTTGATTATGTTCTTTTTTCTTTTTAATTATGCAGTGGCTTATTTATTTATTCTTGTTACCGTATTTAAATCACTTTTTACACAATAAAATGGTAAACAAGATTTATCTCCGACTCTTTGTGTCAGTTTTGAGGCACCAATCAGTTACATATATACATACACACACACACACACATACACACACTTCTTTTTGGTAATACTTTCTGCATTTAGTTTTAGTGTTTTGAAAAGGCTACCTAGTGAGAATGTTTTACTTTGATATGCACTATAAAAAATTATCTAAAAAACTACTCCGTAACACTAATTAAAAACGCCATAAAATACAAAGATCCAACAAAACAACCATAGATTTGGGTCGGACCCAAGTCCAAACCCCGAACCCGACCCATCTATGAGGACGAAAAGTAAAATACAAAGATCATCTTGTATACAAGCAACAACAACACAATGAATTTCTTCAAAGTAACAACATTGTATACAATGAGATTAAAATAGTACAGTATTTCAGTAACACAAAACAATCACCCAACAAAACAAGTAAACAACTACGTATATACTAAGAGAAACTCATTAAATGGGAGTATATAACTTCTAACCGCTTCTTTTTTTATTTTAAATCAGCGCTTCTTTTGATGAATAAATATCAAATTGATACACATTCCAGTGCACTGTACACATCCCAAATTTTGGCAAATATTGACAAGAATACAAATTATTTGTCACACAAACACAGCTCTGATATACAACACAGCATCCATAAATGGCACTCTTCTTCTTCTTCTTCTTCTTCTTATCCGTCATCTCCGGAGCAGCAGAGTTCGCAGCAGTAGCAGCAACCAAAGCAAGCCAGAGAACCGAGCAATTGTGTCAACGCAACTGCACACTGGTCATTCATCTTAGAACATGTTTGGATGCAACACATGCAGCACAGCTTCTGGCACATCATTCCACAACAGTTTGATGCCGCCTTGACAAAGACCTCAGCTGCATCTGGTTTTGTCTCCATAGCTCCTGGAGGAGTGTTTTCGGCGGTCGCTGTGGGGTTTCCGAAACCAAGCCTGAGGTTATGGAGCTCTATTCTCTTCTGTGATTTGGGGTCTTCCTTTTTCTTTTGATCGCTTACACGGTCCTGCACAGCCATCATTTGCATTTGGGTGGTTGTAAGTCGGATGGTTCAGGTGGCAATGCAAGGAGGACATGTAAACCATTTACCATTCCAACTTCTTTTCTTTTCTTTTTTAACAAAAGAACCAAGTGCCAAACGGGCCTTATGGTCCATTTAAAACTGGTTTTTTTCTCCTTTTACGAGGGGAAAATGAAAGAGAGCGAAATCAATGGCTTCTTACCGTCTCGGAAAATCAAGTCAGTTCAAACATAAAACTTATCAATAGGAAGTTATGAGGTCAAAATGACATGACATCTCAATTGAAATGCTTGATGACAAATGTGGGAAAAAAAGATCAACACAACTATGTACATAGATCTGATCATTTTATTGCTTATCTTCTAGTCATTGATAAATACCTTCTTTGTCTTGCTCGGCTCTGGAGTTCCCTTTGTTTTCTCAGTCCCTACCAGTGCCATGCGCGTATACTCAGAAACAATGGAGCTTTGTATGCTCATTTTTGCTATCTGCAAATAAGTGAAATGGACATTAGCCAATTATAAACCATAATGATCCAAATTCATCTCCAGACTCTTTAAATGCGAGATTTTATTCATTTTGAAGAATCATCCATCAAAAAGCATCTCCAACAAACTCCCTGTTATAATTTTTAAATTTAGAGAATGAGTCTTCACGCTCCAATTTTGAAGGGCAAATAAAACTCTGTATATACGAGTATATAATTAATTCCAACTAATGCAATGGCATCTCGAAAAGAAAATTCTTTAGAAGTTTCATTAAAAGCAATGGTCATTTTGCTCTCTATTTGAAAAATAAAATAGAATAAAGAAAAAAAGGAAGTGTTGGAAAAAGCCAACCAATCACTCGTTGGATTTAAAGATGCTATTAGTACTTTTGCTGACTGCTAAATATACTCTTTAAATTTACTCTCTTGGAGACGCTCCAGGATGTAAATGAATGAGGTAGATAACAACTATAACGACCTTCTCCTCGAGCCTCTTATTGTTGGTAAACCATGCCTGTGCAGTGAGCATCATGATTTGCTGGTGTGCTAATACCTGTAAAACAATCTTTTGCAATTTAGGAGTGGAACATGTTTTAAAGAAAAACAGAAGTTGATATGCAAAATGTACAGCTAAATGTGTTTGGCACACCAGCACAGAATTCTTCCAGCAAGTAAACTACGATGAAAGATCTTTATCTAACCTTATCAATAGGTATGTCCTTTGTCTCTTGTACCTTCAGGTCCACAGATAAATTGCTCATATCTGCAAGAGAACCTGTTACCTTGAGGTTATCAGGAAATTCTCCTCGGTATCGACCTGAAAGAATCAATGAGCTTTCTGATGAAAGATCTGGAATTTGAGACGGATATACCTGCCATGAAAATTACAAAGATACACTATTAATTACAACATAAATTATGCCATTTGCACATAAGGACGATACTCCCCTTCAATGCATAAATAATCAACTCGTTATTTTCCTTCACAATAATTATTAAGTTCAAAAAAATCCAAGTATCCTACAATTGATACCTTAAAAATTATTCCCTTTAACAGACCACCAAAAAGTTACATTGGAGTATTTCATACTCTGTAGTAATTTTAGTTTAATGATGTCGTAACAAGTTAACAACAATCCATCAACATTAGAGATCGGTGCTGACCTCAAACTCCTCAAGATCAAGACTTCTGAAGTCAATAGTAATATTTGCAAGAACGGTTGATGTCGCTCTGGAAAACAAACCTTCCACTCGAGCCTCAATTGACTCTGAACAATAATAAAATTGAATAAATAAGTACCACTCAAATATCATGATACAAGTCCCCTGGCACAATTTATTCCTAAGAGAACAAAACACAGACAGTGTATCTTCAGAGTACACAACAAAGAGATCAGAAGTAATGCCAACAAGCTGAATCAAGGTGGGCATATATATGATGTCCCAACGCCCAAATCCAATTAATATGGAAAAATAATGCAATATTAGAAAGGATCAAAGGAATCATCTAGAACCTCACTGCCCAAGACAACCATTAAATATTTTACTTCAAGAATATGTCGTAAAAAAAAGCTTACCTACATCACGAGCTGCATCACAAAAGCCACGACCCAACATTGCAAGCATGCGGAGAAAATAATGGTTACAGAACCGTCCTGAAATTTTTAAAGCCTGAATTGTCAACAAACATAGTGGAAATACAGAAGCATTTCCTTTCATTTACATCCAAGTGATAATAGGTACTAATTGGTGAACCAAGATGAGTACACATTTTTTCACCCAAGATGAGAGCCTCTATATCTGCATTACATACCAATGCCAAGTGTATACAACCGTGGGGAAATATGCCAGTTTTTTGTTAGATGAGTCTGCATTACATTGCAGATGTGTCTTTCATCGTCAACCGCACCATCAGTGATGAGGAAAATAATGGGAATGGATTTGCTTGTGTGAGAAAACATTTCAATGGCCTGGCCAAGACAAAAACAGTGTTAGAAGTGTTCAATGTAATGGGAATTTAAAAGCCTTAAGCAGAAATATCCATCTCAAACAGATTAATGAATAATGATATAACAGATACAGATAGCAAGAAAGTGAAATATTTAGATCATGATCATTCATGAACATAGGATACATCAAACCCTAAGAAGACAGGCTAACTGGTTAAGAATGTAAAACATTTGGATCACGTTAATTAATTATTCGTGGACATATTGAACCCAGAGAAGATAAGGCCTACTTTTAGTAGGTATCGTACCATTGAAACATGTTTCATTATCTGGGTCTAATATGGACTCAAAAAGTTCATATTAGAAGGTAGTTGACTATGTTTCTGAACACTAAAAGGTAGTTACTGTGTTAAATACATTAACAAGATAATTTGGTGAAATTTCATGAAAATAAACGAGGAAAGAAGACAACCTGATTTAGAGGGTTCAAAATGTTTGTGCCTCCACCAGCAATGAAGTTTGTATTTATCCACTCCTTTGCATTTTCAAGAGATTGATTTGTTGCAAACTCAAGAGATGTTGAGAATAGACTTGTTTCACCATTAAATGCAATAATGCTGAATGAATCCTGAGGGTCAAGCTTTGAAAGTGCCGAAAAGAGAGCATTTTTTGTATCCTCGAGAGGTTTTCCCCTCATGCTACCACTAATATCAACAAGAAATACCACCTCCTTTTTGAATGCCTACAAAAAATCAAAATAAATATAAGTGCTGGAACCACTTCTCACACAACGTGAAACAGAAAGCAAATACAAGTATGGGCTGTACAGTGTAACATGATTAGAAATAACATATGGTCCACTAGTTAATACAACAACCGGAGTATCTAAACAGTATCACTCATTCAGTTGACCTTTAATTAGTATACTCATGCTCAAGATATATCCAAGAATTCATGCATGTAAAAAAAATAGAGCAACCTTTGTGTTCTGCTTGTTCCCTGGAAAAAGATAGCAGCAGAACATATTCCTTTGGTCAATATCAAGAACTCCGGGGGATTGAAAAATCACACTGCCATAGGTTTGGCCTGATGAAACCTAAATACATGATGGTGTGCAGTGATGAAAGTTCATCAGAACGGAACAAGATTCTTGATATTACAAAAAATTGAATAAAGATGGTCAACAAGTATCTGACATGGAAGTATGAGAAACTCCTATTGGGAATCAAATCAGTAACCCAAGTAGTTCTAGAGGGATGCATAAAGGGCCTTACAACGTAGTCAAAGACAAAATCATTACTGGACCATTTGAGAACTTCTGCTTCATATAAGAAGGTCAGCTTCCCAGCTTGGCGCCGTAGTTCCTAAAAAAAAAAAACTTGTGACGACAATAATCAATAATTGTTAAAACAAAAAAAATGTCAAAAATTTAAGAGAAGCAGCACCTTCATAGGATGACTAGATGTCTTACACAAAACTTCTGCTCCAGGAAATGCGTTAACATTCAACTTTATCTTTTCTCTCTTTGAGATTTTCTTTCCAGCAGGAGTCACATACTCTGGGAAACTGAACGGGATATTCAGGGAAAATTGCCCATCATGATACACTAGCTTCTGAGACCATCTAATAGTTACTGAAATATTTGCTCCTCCGTCAATCTGAAGATTAAAACTATTGTAAATATGAAATCACATTAAATAGACCATCTTTAGACAGCAAATATTTCCATTGTCGCAGCAGTCCTACCTGTGGAACATTGAAGGTAAAAATGTTTGACTTCAAGTAGCTTCCTTCGCCAACCTTTGCGGTCAAGCCCGTTTCTCTTTCATCCTCAAAGGCAATCACTTCAGTAGAATAAAATTCTCTGGGTACTTCAACCTCAACACCTAGAATGGAACCCTGTTAGCCAAATAATTTATCACTTGAGAACAATCAGTGGTGTTTCACAAAAGTTAAACAAGTGAAGCTAATAAGGTGCCTGCGATGTTATAAAGGATGTTATTAAAAGAAAGTCGTAATCACAAGGTGGTAACTATCAGGTATAGAGCAAAAAGGGGGTGACCTAACTCACTCAAGCTCTCCCTATTTGTAAACATAAACAAGACTCACTAAATACATGTAGCTAGCAAGAAAGCACAACCAACAAGACTCTTAATGAAACTATAACGTTGTTAGACTGTTTGATTTCCCATTACAGATTACTAAGCTAACAAGAAAGCAGCTGTAAAGTTTTCATTTATGAGATATTGCTCAATTTTTTTACAGTACAGACAGAAGTTAAGCTAAAATGGCATTTTAGTACAAAATTTTTGAAGTCATTCAAAACAGAAAAGGAGAGTGGAATGATCACGTCAGTGCATCAAATCCAATATAGAAACAAACACAAATAAGCCTCATCCCAAGTAACATGGGTTCGAATACACGAACCAAGAGCCCCAAGAGAAACTTACATTCTATCATTAACAAAAATGCTCTCTCGTCATTTATTTATATCCATAGTCACACTCCCATAACTCCAAAAGGACAACCCAGTGCATAGTACTACCCCCCACTCAGCGAAGGTATAGAGAAATGTCCAACCATAAGGGTGTGATTTTATCAAACCTTGCACTTTTGCAAGAGGCAAGATGCAACACTCACATCTCCCATCTAATCCCCAAAGCAATCTTTTTTGGATATTCTTAGTATTACAGATGTTATTCCTAAAATCAACCCCATTCAATAAATGTATTTATTCCTCAATAAAGTTGAAACTTCTAGAGGGGAGGTTACTTACAAAAAGCAAAGTAATTCAGACTTATTTGTTTATATTATTGAATGCAGAAAGATTTCCCCTAGCTAGTAATTAAATGCAATCCATAGATACAATGTCAAAACATAATAATAGCATTAATATAAAAATCAAACGCATAAATCTTAAAGCAATTCAAATTTGGTTATACTATATAGATACCTGTTCGCCCATGGGAACAGCAAAGCAGCAATCGCAGCACTGGCTCCCCATGACGCAATGCACGCGCCAAGAGCCGGAGAGTGTGACGAAGGCGGTGTCAAGGCAGCACTCAACCTCGAGGGAGACGCCGTTCATCTGGAGGGGGATCAGAGCGGGAGGATCGCACCTGCCGTGCACGTGAGGCTGGTAGCTGGGAATATCAGGGTTGTCGACGAAGGCGGGATTCTCGATGACGGCGTAGACCATGGGAGCCGAAGGGAGGTAGGAGCCAGCCGCCTTCTCCATGGGGGTCATCGGCTTAGGCGGCGCCACGGCACGGTCCTTGCCGAAATAAATCCGCTTTGACAGACGCAGGCCGTCCTCCACGGCGTTCTCGAACTCCTCCGCCATGAGCAGGCCGGCGGGTGCACGGAGGAGGGGAGAGGAATGCAGGGACGGGTAAATTGGGAAAGGAATGTGTGAGGGGTTCGGAAATGGGGTCAATGAAGGAAGGAAGGAAGGAAGGAGGAGGGGAGTTAGATTCGGACGGTGCCCGACGTCCGATGGCTGAATAAAAGGGAAGAATTCTCGGAGAAATTAACGGACGTTAATTCCTGACGTTTGTTTTTAAACGTGAATCGCATTCCTTCATCAGCCCATTCGTCGTTATGTGGAGTACACAAGAGACAAAAGCTTGTTTCTTTTTCTTATTATTGTTGGGATATGCTAAGGGTACACCAAATGTGTACCCCAAATATACACCACTATCATTTCTACTATTGATTTAATTTTATTTTTATTTTTTATTTTATTTTTTGAATTTTTCTTGCCTTTTTTTGTGGTGATGGAGGGGCTGGGAATGTTTGGGGTACACTTTTGGTGTACCCCTAGCATTTTCCTTATTTTTGTTGTTGTTGTTCTTACTAATATTTCCTCTCTTCCAATTTACATACTCCCTCCGTCCCTAAATATTCACAACATTTGCTTTTTCAGCAGTGTCGGAAACTTTTGTTTATTTCGACGCTTTCATTGATTATTTGATAAAATAAAATATTCTTGACACCTCTTATTTCGAAAAACTTTTCATATAGTTTTTTTATATGTAAATTTTATTTTTTATTTCTTTACCAATATGTAAATAAAATGAATTGAAAAAACTTGATATTTTGCCTCGGGAATACAAATGTGGCAAATAATTTGGGACGGAGGGAGTATATTAGTATTACACCCGTGTGTTGCACGGGTCATTTTTATGTTATTAAATTCAAATCATATTTCAATGATAAAAATGATATGCAATAGAATATAGAGATTATATTATTTTAATGTAAATAACATCACTGCTTTACAAATTTCGAAAGACTTCTTTATATACTACATTATTTGTACAATTTGTGGGAATATTGTCTTCATTGCATATAAGAATCTTCAACTCACTACGATTAGTTATTCTTGAAACCGCAACATAGAGTTTTCCATAACTAAACACAGGTTTCCGTAACAATACTCCAACATGTTTCAGAGATTATCCATGGCTCTTGTTAATCGTCATTGCGTACGAAGTAACCACGGGAAATTGTCTTCTTTGAAACTTGAATGGAATTCTTGTATCCGACGGTGTTAATGATAATCTTGGAATAACGACTTCTTCACCCTTAGCTTGTGACTTCCTGATAATATTTTTCCTTGTATTAAGTGATTAGCCAATCGGGTTATGATACGATATCGTATCGGGATAAGGAAGAACTTCGAGCGTTCTTCAAACTCCAAGAGAAAAAAGACGAGAAGAGGGAGAGAACCGCGAATCTTTGTTCGGCGGAAGAGAAGAACGAGAGATAAGAGGAAGAGATTAGGGTTAGGAAAATGATTGTTCTTTTTTTTTAGGGTTCTTGATTATTGATTGATTGAATGATAATAAAACGGGATTACAATATATAGAGATGAGACGCCACACCTACATGACCTAATGGGCTCGGGCCCATACAAAAACCCTAATCTATAAAATACTGATAAATAATAATAATTAACTACTAAATAATAATATAACTAATTAAAATATTCTAATTAACTATCCATATCATTCCCACCCCCTTAAAATCCACCTTGTCCTCAAGGTGGAGGCTCCCACTCATGCTTCAGGACCGGAGAAAGAATGCTGAACCAAATGAGCAATCCATTCTTTGAATCTTCAACCATCTTTGATCTTGAAGCAAAGTGATGGAAAGATGAGACGGGGCGCAGAACATATGTAGTTGCTCTCGATGAAACCAGGTGCTCCGTCTTGACCACAACAAGCTCAAACAACTTGATGGTGTCAATCAACATAGGTGAGTGTGCTTGTTTACCATCTACATCTGTCACTTTGTCAACACTTTTTGAAATTTCATATTCTGCAATGACCACACCAGCTGAGGTAGAAAATTCCTGAAAAGTAGGATCTGGCTTGTCGACATTAGCAACATCTTCTGCAAGAGGACCTTCATTTTTGTCCATAACGTTGAACAGGACTATATTTAGTTATTTAAGTAATAATAATATAATGATAGTAATAATATTCATCAAAATAATAAATACCTATCCATTAATATAATATTAATCCTTCATATTAATATAATCCAATAATCACAATACCAAATAAATCAATGGAACATACCAATCCTAAGAGATCTAGGTGGTAGATATATACATCGGTAATGAGTAAAAATTATTAATCAATCAATAAAGAAATATTTCCCTAACCCTAAACTCCCCCTCTCCTCCTCGCCGATCAATGGCCGTCTTCCCCTCCCCTTTCTCAATCTCTTCCTTTTCCCCAATTCTATAGCTCGAAGGTGTAAATCCTTCTTTATCCCGATACGATACCGTATCAGGTTACCATCAACTATGTACCATTACATAAACCCATTGAATGATCAATATTTCCCAACATAATAGGCGTGTCTACCTTCAGAGTTAGCTCATGATTCGATACACCAGAAGCACAAATCTTATTTAAGAATTCGGGAGAGTGTAGGTCACCGGAAAAATTTGAACTGCAATCCGAGTTCTCAACTTTGTCAGAACTAAGGTATGCTCGAGACTCTCTGCTTGGATTCATCGTTGTTATATATTCATTTATGGAATCGACGACATCCAATAAAACGTTTACATATAATTAAATTTAATTTTTTTTAAAAGATTTATTATATGTAAAATATAAAATAATGTAGAATTAACCTCTGAGTCGTGAAAAATAATATCCAATGATTCCGACCCTCGAGAATGAGCAGGAACGTGGTAAACTCTTACCGCTCTTAGTTTCATCATCAATAGTCCTGACCTCTCATCAACATCTTTTAAAGCAGTTATGATCCCCATATTCATACAAAAAGTGATGTTGAAGCACCAAATTAAAACACGCCTTGATTAATCTTACTTCCTTGGCCTAGAAAAGTACCAAATTTTATAGTATATGTAATTGTAATAAAATTTGGTTGATGTATAATAAAATTTACAAATTTCGGTGTGTAATTGCCAGAAAATAATTTGGTAAGAATAAAATAATTATTCTTACCATAATTATTTAATAAACGTAACTCACTGTATAATTGTATAAGTTACCTTTTTTTAATTATTTCCTATTTTCTAAATCTTAGGCTTTGCAATTGTATAACTTACCTTTATTTAAAACTTATGATTTGGAATTGTATAATAAGCAATACGCTATTACCTTTATTTAAAATTTAAAACTTACATTAAAATGTACATTACCAAACATAACTATGTACTCCCTCTGTCCCACTATATTTCTCCACTTTCATTTTTGCATACCATCCAATGCACTTCTTTAATCCATTCTATCTTGTAATTTGTATATTAAAAATTATAGAAATTATATATTAATAATCTATATGTTAAGACAAATCAAACAAGATCACACATGACTATATTTAGGCTTATACATTGATAGAATTTGATGAGTCAAAGTGCTTAGATAAACAGTTCCAAAAGTCAAAAGTGGACGAATATAACGGGACGGAGGTAGTACATCACTAAATAGTATAGTAAAATATACATGTATAGTGTCATATTACCGCAGTATGAACTTGTATTTAGAAAATAAAACATGGAACTTCTATTTTGTGACTTTCTATGAGAACACCAATGTTGGGTTATGGAACCCCGGGGCCTAGGAGACTAGGCGAAAGAGTATCGAACTAAAGTCGAGAATGCTCAAGTTAGAAGTCATATAAGATTGTAAGTATTAGTGCGTAATAGAACGTGTCTTTTCTCTTCTTCCAAAGGGGCTTATATACAAGTTTGCAAACGGGGCTCCTGACCGTTGGTCCAAAGTCCAACGAATCAAGCCCACCAGGATCTGGTCGTTTAACCGGCGGCGCCAACCACATCATTATTCCTAGGGTGGCTATACAAGATAGGTTACAAGTAGGGTGGCTACAACTAATCTGACGGTGGCGTGGCAGGGGTCTAATCGTGGGTCCCGTGGTTTGACTAGTCAGGCAGTTTCCATACTCTGTGGTCCCGGTCCAGTAGCATCCTAGACCGAGGCCGAGTACACGTGTTATCGCTTCCTGGAGACTTCCGACAATGAGTTGGTCGGCCATGGTTCGAGGCTGAGCGTGTCACCCGGGGCCGAGCGCAGGTAAGTCTCGATGCGGCAACCCCCCTTGAGACTTCAATTTCTCCCATTTCCGCCCCGCTGAGTGGGCCTGATTCTAACTGGGGTGGGACGATGTTCCTGTTGGGACGGATACCCCCATTCCAGGGTATCGATCAATATCTTACTCCTATTATATACTCTCTCCGTCCTAAAATTAACTTCCCAATTTGACGTTTGCAATCAAATTTTTTAAACTTTGACTGTATATTTTGGAAAAAATATATTGAATTTTCATATAAATTTATTTTCAATATATTCATTTTGAAACATAGTTTTGAAATATATTATTTTTATAATATATATTCATATAAAAATGAAGATATTAATGATCAAAATATCGCATTGGAGATCGTGAAAAATCAAATGTGAAGTTAATTTTAGGACAGAGGAAGTGTGTGTGTGTGTGTGTGTCTATATATATATATATATATATATATATATATATATATATATATATATATATATATATATATATATATATAACCAAGGACGATTAAAACCAGAAGCTACGATCCAAACCTTGGAGTTGGAACGGTGAGCGAGATCACTAGATATTGGCCTAGCCGCAAATCAACTACAATGGAGAAAATCGTCACTACCGAAAGTTACTCTGGGCCCTTTTGGTACGTTGGACCCGTCGGCCCAATTGGGGCAGATGGGAAAAGGCCAAAGAAAATAATGCCCAGAAACCTCGCTTTGGATCAGCACCCGGGTTTTATAATTTGGGAATGACCATCTGTTTATCTCTCGTTTCATTTCTCATTCAGTTTTCTTTTTCGTGCATTTCTAGAGGGGCATTGGCCTAGTCCTCCCCTCACTGTACCTTTCTTTTACCTTTTTGAAATAAAATTTTCATTTATATATATATATATATATATATATATATATATATATATATATATATATATATATATATATATATATATATATATATATACTCCATCCGTCCAAAATTAAACTTCCCGGTTTGACCGGGTACGCAGATTAAGAAAAAATGTAAATATAGCTGACTTTCCCAAAATGCCCCCATTCCCTACTCTTCCGTATTCCCCCCCTCCTCTTCCGATAATAGGCAGGCCACTGGTCTTGGGGAAGCAAGACCGACGGTGGAAGCAGCCGGTGACCGGCGAATTAGCGCACCAGCAATTGGATAAATGGGCGATGCAACAGGTAGGTAACCAACGACTACGAGGCAGTAGAGACCGGAAACACAAGCAAAGCAACGATAGAATGAATTTTAACGGAAATTAACGATAGATCCAACTGCCAACTCGCTGCTCCGATCCACCCACTGGTAGAATTTCAAATAGATCTGGGAAAAGGTTCAGATAGATCTGTAAAAAGGGAGGAAGAAGAAAGAATCTAGAGGAGGAGGAAGAAGAAATAATAAAGGAAGAAGAAGAAATAAAAAAAGGAGGAGGAAGAATTACCAGGACGAAGGAATTTAGAGGAGGAAGAAGACGAAATAAGAAAGGACGAAGAAAAAAAAAAGGAGGAAGAATGACGAGGAATTAGGGGATGGATTGAAAATGAGTGGTGAGAAATGAGAAAGTTGAAATTTGGGTTATATTTGGAAGGGCAAGCATGACTTTTCACACACAAAAACTTTCCTTAAATAGAAATGAGAAGTTTATTTGTGGACGGATAAAAAAGGAAAGTGAGAAGTTTTTTTATGGACGAAGGGAGTATAAAATATACAACACAACATGATTCGACTTGAGATAATAAGATTGAAAAACACAATAATGTCAAACTTAATATCACGTGTGTCACAAAATAGAATTATTCATAGGGGTGAAGGAAAAGATAGGATGGAATGGCACTATAGCTACTATGAATGCACCACCTGTTAATAGATAATACCACGCTGCTACCCATCACAACATTTATTCGCCATCAACTCTATTCTCAATTATAATTTTTGAACATTATTCAAAAACAAAATTATAGTTTTAAACATTTTATAAATGAAACCCGACAAAAAACATTAAAAGAGGAAAAATATTACTAGTATGCACTATGCTAAAAACTCATCAATATTGACATTTTTAATGTCTCAAAGACAATACGTTTCTCAAAAAAATAACTAACTAATGCTACCAAAAAGCACAATAACAAAAAACAATAACAAGGGGCTATACATCCCACCCATCCTTCCGGCGGCCGAATTCCGACTTCCGGTCCGATATGCTCCCGTAAATCTCCGAGAATTTCCGGAGGCATCCGCTCCGAACATGATAGTGAGCTTGCGTGTTTCCGCTGATAGCGACCCCCGAAAACTTGGACATGTCCATGGCCCACACCGGTTTCACGTACTCGACCGTGACCGAAGACGCGTTGGCGTATAGGTAGTTCAAAAGCACGTCCTCGCAGTTGAAAACCGCGTCGACAACTTCACGTCCCGCCGAAGCCTCCTCGCTCCAATACCTTCTGAACGCCGTCCGGGCGTCGAGGAACGCCGCCCCGGTCAATATCATGTTGTACCCGTTGTGCTTGCGAGCGTGCCGCTCCGGCCGGTACTCCAACGGCGGGCCCGCGCTGACGAGCCGAGGGTAGTACCCGACGATCCCGTCCGGGTGCTGACGCCACACCGAGAAACCCCGCTCGACGTCGTCGCACGTCATCATGATGTCGTCGTCGAGCTCAAGAACGGCCCGGGTCTTTACGAGCGGGTCAGGTCTGAACCGGTTGTTCAAGGAGTTCTCCTCCTCCACTCGTATCCTCACCGGGACCGCCGAGTCGAAATCGCTCGCCCGTGGGGGTTTTCCCTTGTTCCACACGACGACGATTTCGCGGACCGAGGAGCATCTCGAGTAGTGTTTGATGTACATTTTCAAGTTCCACATTCGGGCATCGTACGTCATTGTCAAGAGAGTGAACTGAGAGTAGTGACCATTCAAAGGGTACGGTTCTTGAGCACCGTTGCCTCCATAGATGTAAGTGACACCGGAACACGCCAAAACAGCTGCAATTGAGAACACCATGGCAAGAACCAAAGCTCCGAAACATGTGTTTGGTTTTATTCTCACACGTAGGAAGAGGCCCACGCGGTTTAACTGGCTGCACGGAAACCCCAACTTCAAACATAATGGGTTTTTCGTTTCTTCTTTCCGCGATGAAATGGAATCACTCTTCTTTCCCAAGTTGTGGGATTGCCAGCCCAAAGGCGCAACAAACTTCACGACCCCGAGTAAGACTCCAAACAATATGACGAAAACTACAACCCCAACCACAGAAGCAAAGCCAAGGACAAACCGATGCCTCACGTCTCCGGAGTGCACGCGGTCCCCATCCAAAACGCCGATCCACTCTCCTGAGTTCAGCCGTTGCACGTCAAAGTGATGGCTGCGGGCCCCATTCCAGGCATTCATCCCCTTTATAGACTCTCCAATGCCGAAGGGAACTTCGGCTTCCGCGTACTCGTTTGTTGTGAGGTTTTGTATTCTGAACACACGTACGCGTCTGCCATATGTGTCGCCACAGTCTTGACCAACACGGTATATGTTTCCGTTATACAAAAATGGTCTTCCTCCGTTTCGGGCCCCAATGCTCGGGTCCGTGTTGTAAATGGGATTCTTCGTGTGGGGCCTCCAAGGGCCAAGAGGAGAGGTGCTATACCAGATCTCTAGTTGTCCGTTGTTCTGGGTTCCAATGCCACTGTGATCTGAACCAAACAGCCAATATTTCCCATCATGTGGGATTATAGAAGGATCTATGATGGGCTTTTTCATTATAACCTTCTCTTGAACCCATTTTGTGGGAAAATCTACAGCACGGTACAGATTAAGTTCCCCCTTTTCACTGCTTTCAGGCAACATATATATCTGCCAAGAGAAAGAGAGAGCGAGAGAGGTTGTAAGTAGAAGAAATGCAGCGCAGTGTTTGACAGACAAAATGGAGAATAAAATAAAGCGCATGATACATTAAAGGTATGTTTGGAACACGGAAAATGCTAGTGGAAGAAAATAGACAGGACATTTAAAAGGAGAGATAATGCCCGGAAAATAATTGTTCATATTCATTTTTATGGCACAGAGGGAGTATTTGATTTGCTTCTCCCATGAGACAACATGAAGAGGCCACATATCTTTGAATGCCATGTTAACAAACATAGACAAGACTAAGAAATTGAGATCTTACAATCCCATTGTAGTCAAACACATATGGAAATGAGAGATGCCAATCTTCGTCCAATGCAATGCCCAAATGTTCCCATGTTACTCCTTTATCAACACTTTTAGCAACTCCAATATCCCCTTGCATTGTGATCGGATTCTTTGTTTCAAAAAAGAGGTAAAGAATGTCTCCCTGAAAAAGGAAAAAGAAATACTTATATTTCACAATTGAAATATAATGGCAAGAAAAGACATATCAACAACAATAACAAGTTTAATGTGTCATTTTGATTTAGTCCATTTTTCTGCCTGAAGCTAAAGAATCGCCAATAATGACTATTCTAGCTCCATTGGTAATGGAAGGATAATGGAAAAAATAGATGGAATACAAAGTAAGTTAAGTAACTGAGAACATTAAAATTATAAGGAAATGGCATATCTTGAGCGAAAGGTTTTAAGGCTCCTTATTTGCATTTCATTAAATTCAACAATAAAGACAGAGTAACACAGAACAATAATTTTAATCATATTCTAAACCTATCATCACTAAGACCAGTCAGTTATTAAACTAGAACAGTTAAATTGTCTTAATAAAGTATAGTCATGTTTAAGAAATACTGTACTAGACTGTGTGCACAACATATGAGTATATCACATTTTTTAGTGTAGGAGTAAAGTAAAATGATTAAGACATTACAACAAGAAGGAATTGTTAGGTTGTGGAGTCTGATTTCATACTTAATGTACTCTTAAATATTGTCGTTCACACGGTTCAACCTTAGCGGTGAGGTTGCTGATGGGTGGGCTCGGAAGCCCCCAACCCAAAGGTGGCATTTGGGGTGCAGTCCGGCCTAAATTTTAGGTTGTACGGTTGTACCTTTATTCTTCTCCATGTAGCTAATTTATAGCATGTATTTTTTGAAATTGTTCATACTCTGGAATCAACAATATATAGTCATATACCGCCTTGGAGTTCGCCATCGGTGTTACCACGTATTCTTTGTGTTTTCTCTCTATAAGATTTTTGTTTCTTCTTCATCCTATTTCTTGATTTTTCTTCATCATCTAAAATACTGTGTGGTGTGTGCGATACGACCTGGAATCCGCACCATATTTCCTCATCCTACATAGTTCATGCTATCTTTTTCAGTGTGTCCTTCCCAAAACCATGGTGTTACTGTCATGGTTGTGAAATCAATCATACATTTGATAACTCCCATCTTGTGAAATGATATCTATTCTTAGCTCTCATTGTCACAGTTGGGCTACATTAATAATAGAAGTTGAGTTCTTTCCAAGTAAAACTATCATAGACAATTCAACCATGACAATCCAATATGAGGCAGCATGGCATATGTTCTTTTTTTTTTGGGTAACACCAAGCACTCTTTTCTTCTATTCTGAGAATCGGTTGAAGTGTACCCCACTCTGTCACCTTGAGGCTTACGTATCACCTTTTAGAAGAAAGTTCCCTGAGGCCCATTTACGTTTTTTCAATAGTAAAGTAGCGGTTAGTCAATGCAACTTTTGACGCTTGACATGTCACATGTGTCATCTAAAAACAACCGCACTATGTTTTACACATAGGGTCAGACAACGTACATCCGACCCCCCCCCCCCTTGCGGGTTAAAATAAGAGGAGCATAGTGAGACAAATAAGAAAAAGTTATTGGACCATCGGACATGTGCAACTTTCTACGGAAGACACTATAATGTTGGACTATTAAAAAAGTTGTGTATGTGAAGATCTATGTGTAGCGGTGAAAAGTCACATAAAAATGCGTGTAGCAACTATTGAACATAAAATAAGGTAGAATCAACTGCATTAATTTGGGCAAATTTAGTGTCCTGGTATGTGGGATGAAGAATTGGAATACTAGAGAGTAGAGACCTCAAAAGGAATCGTGGTAGACCAAAAATAGAATAGATCAATGGTGTAGAAAAGGCAATAGAGCATTGGTGGCTTTGGGAGCACATAGTGCGTGATAAGAAAATTGTAAAAACAAAGCAACTTGCAACATTTCACTAGAAGTACTAAATCCATATTTATCAAACCCTCTTGAATAAAATGATCATCACAGCCAGTATCTGTAACCAGCTTCATATGATATACAACGAAAAACCACAACCAACATCTGCTCATTTAAATAATGGAGCACCGAGCACCAAAAAGTATACTATAAATCAAACTTCTGCACAGCGATCAAACATCTAAATTCAACTCGGTAAGCCCACCAGAAGTACTAATACAACAAAACATCAAAGCCAAATCTCAACCATCCAAATCTAGGGCTTGTTTGGTAAGGGTTATTTGGTTACAATGGTTTGGATCTCCTGGATTTTTTGAAAGGAAGATTGTTTGGTGACATCCATGTCAGCCAAATGAGCAAGTCAAAAGCTTCTAGTGTCTATTAATCATCCTTCTGCTAAACAAGTTACCAAACAGGGCCCTGATAAATAGTGCACCTATAAACCCTCTCGTCTATCCACTGATTCCACACGGTAATTCAACATACATAGATGAACAGCTAGCTAATAACACACCCGGGTTATTTATGCATAACTGAAATCATAGACCAATTTCCTAAAATGGCAATGTATACCCAATACATAAACAAAACAAAACAAAAATAAAAGAATAAATTACCTTAACGAAAAGGAAGGGGTCAGCAACAAAATTACTAGGAAATCCAGCCTGAGAAGCTGAAGCACAAGTTATAATTGGATTGGCCACTGGCCATGCTGCACTCTTGTCCCTCTGTATATTCATCTGCAATCCATTTCCAGATATAGAAGTCAAACAAGAAGCATTAATGGAAACTACAATCCAGACAGATTTACCCAATTCCGAATTCCCAGAAGAAGAAAAACCTCAACACCCAGACAGGTAATCCTACAGAGTACAGACTTAAGTCGCGGCAATCGGTATAATCCAAAATGTAAAACTTTATGAGTAAAATCAGTAAGAACATAAGAGAAAAAGATGATGAGGAAGAAGAAGAAGAAAGCTCACGTCTTCGATGGGTTTGAGGGAGAAAGGAGAGTCCCCATAGAAAACACCAATTGCCCATGAGCCCTCATTGTCTTCACGGCAGCCCAATACAGGTAGGTTTGCGTGGACATTGGGCGGAAGCATGAGCCTAGCATAGAGGCAAGCTATGGAGACCAGAACCAGGAATGAGACCAGGAAGAAAGCGAAACCAGGATCGCTAAAACCTGATTTCCTGCCGTTCTTGATGCTGTTTCCGGTATTGAATCTCCGGCCGCCGGGGGCGTAGGAGGCGGGAGAGATCGCAACTTGGGTTGAACCCATGGATGCAGAAATGAATTCGGCAAAACTGCAGGAGATTTAACTCAGAACAGAATCTATCACCGCCGGCCCGCCGCGTATTCGTATGTAATAAATACAGAATCCATTTCTAGAGATGCAAAATTCTACCGGGCCGCTAGAAATGGTGCAGCCAGCGGAAGAAGATAGAGGATTGAAAATTTGAAACGCCTAATTAATCAACACGGTTTTGATTTCGTAATCAGTGACGGAAGGGGGTTCGGGTTGGCAGGTTTCGTAATTATTTGTATGTCTTTTTTTATTTCCCAAAGTTTTATTTCCCAGCGGAAGAAGATAGAGCCATAGAGGATTGAACATATTTTATTTTTTTTCTATCCAAACCTTTTTTTATTTTGTATGGTTTTAGTTCTTTCTTTTCCTTTAAACCATTTTTGTTTTTTTTTACTTTTTTTTATTTTTTTTTGAACCAAGCACATTATATTAACACCAAATCAAAGAGTCAGACATAGGGGGGAATCCCAACACACAATAGTAAATACACAAAACAGCAGCTAAATGCTACAAGAGGCTAATTATCTAAACAGAAATTTTGTCTCCAATTCTCAGCCAAATAGTGGTTTTCAACTTTTGAATAAGATGTTCCTTTGTATCCTTCTTGCCACAATGGAGCTGCATGTTCCTATTCTTCCATACAAAATAACAACCTGCAGTGATACAAGTTGCTATCAACCAGCGATGTTTTCTACTCTTGCCCATTTTGATTTTCTCTCCCAATTCAGTAATGGACTGGGCAGTAGTTATGTCATAATGAATCCACGTTGAGAGCTCCCCAAAGACAATTTTAGCAAAAGAACAAGTGCAGAAAAGGTGATCACTTGTCTCTACTTCAAATCCACACAATGAGCAGATAGGGTCCAGGCTAAAAAACCTACTCAATCTGTCCTTGGTCAAGACTCTTCCTCTCCATATTAGCCAAGCAATAAAAGAGTGTTTAGGCACTGCCCATTTATTCCATACTAAAGCAGCCCATTCCACCTTGTCATGTGTCCAACATAACCGGTTATACCCTTCCTTTACATTGTATTCATTCATGATGTTCATGCCTCTGAAAAGCTTACCATTCTTGATCAGCTTTTTCCAATAAAAACAGTCATCCGGCTTGGATGTGTACTCCTAAATGGTACAGTGTTTAAGATATCTGCCGTGAACCCATTTGACCCATAAAGAGTCCTTCTTCTTAGCCACATCCCACATGAGTTTCATAGTACAAGCTTGGTTCCACAGTAATAGGTTTTTCAATCCCAAACCACCCTCCTGTTTAGGTAGACAAACATCATCCCAGCTGATTAGAGGGCATTTCTTATAGTCAGGAGTGGAGCTCCATAGGAAGTTCCTGCATAGGGCCATTATCTTCTTCATCACCTTGTTTGGCAAGAGAAAAATTCTGCTACAGAAGAACACAACTCCATACAAAACTGAGTTGATTAATCTCACTCTCCCTGCATAAGAAAGGTGTTTTGTAACCCAAGAGGAAATCTTTGTTGTTAGCTTCTCCACTAGCAGGTCACATTCCTTTTCACCAATACGAGGGCCCCCAGATACCTAAACGGGAAACATCCTGTGGACATTTTAGTTCTCTGCATAATATAGTCTTTGGTCTCCCCAGGAACTCCCCTCATAAAAACTTGTGATTTTTCATAATTGGGCTTCAATCCTGTGATACACTTGAAATGTTCAAGTCCTGACATGATACATTCCACTGACTGAGGATCAGCTCTACATGCCACTATGAAGTCATCAGCAAAGACTATATTTATGAGCTTCAGAGACTTGCACCTGGGATGGTAACTAAAGCCACCATTCTTTGAAAGAAAAGAGAAAGTTCGTGTGAGGTACTCCATTAAAAGGGTAAATAGTAGAGGAGAGATTGGATCCCCTTGCCTAATTCCCTTGCCACCTCTAAAAAAACCAAAAACTTCACCATCCAGTTGGATTGAGTATGCTGTACTAGTGACACAGAATGTTATCCAGGTGATGAATTTCTTTGGAAATTTTAAGGCTGTCATGATTTGAAGTAACCCTTTCCAACTTACAGAGTCATAAGCCTTACTAATGTCCAACTTCATTAGGCATCTGGGTTGATTCCTTTCCTATTGTAATCTCTAGCCAACTCTTGACATAAAAGAACATTGTGTACTAGCTCTCTCCCCTCTATGAAGGCACCTTGATTGTGGTTGATAATATGGGGCAGGATCACCTTAAGCCTGCTACATATGATTTTAGAAATTACCTTATAAATGACATTGTAGCATGCTATGGGTCTGAAATCACTGGACTTCTCAGGACTGTTGACCTTAGGAATAAGGCATAAATTTGTATGGTTGATCTGTTGGAGGGTGTGCCCGTTTTTAAAGAACTCCAGAACTGTTTTAGAGACTAGATCACACACAACTTTCCATTGTTGTTTGAAAAAACCACTACTAAAACCATCTGGGCCGGGGCTCTTGCTATTAGGAATGTCAAACATTTGTTTCTTGATCTCTTCTATAGTGACAGGAGCTATCAGTTGAAGTTGTTGTTCTATAAAGAGGACCTTACCTTCAGCAATAATATTCTCATTGATATCCTCTGTGCTATCTGTTTTCCCCAGCAGATTTTGGAAATGATCTATTAAAACTTTGGCAATCTCATTTTTCCCTTCCACCATTTGTCCTCTGGAATTTTTGATAAAGCTGATATGGTTCATTAATCTTCTCTTTTTAACCCAGGCAAAGAAGAGTTTAGAGTTGGCATCCCCTTCATGGATCCATTCAGGTTTAACCCGTTGGGACTTCATTAATCTAGCTGCCTTCAATTTCCAGTTTAGATCTTTGGTTATTTCCAGCTCCTTGATGATAAGTTTCTCTTTTCTTAGATTCTTCTTGATTTCCTCTTGAACCTGGAAAAGTTGCTCCCTCAACAGGTTACATTGTTGGTGAATCTGAGAGAATTTGTTCTTATTCAAACCTCTAAGAAGAGGCTTTAGTGATTTGAGTTTTGAAATTAACTGATAGCTGTATCTCCCCACAACTTTAAGATTCCAGATGCTTTCAACAATCTCTGAGAATTGGGGATCAAGCATCCACATATCACAAAATTTAAATGAGTAGTTCCCTCTTCTAACAGTGCAGTCCTTAAGGATTAGTGGAGTATGGTCAGACAATCCTTCCTCTTGAATACTGAGTTTTGTGTCAAACATAAGAAACCACTCAACATTTGCTAAAGTCCTATCAATCTTTGAATAAATTCTTTTGCCTAGCCCTTGTCTGTTGGACCATGTATACCTGGAGTCCTCACTGGGAATTTCTTCTAAACCACACTTTTGAATACATTGTTTGAAATCTCTAGTTTCATCCCAAGAAACTGGGCTGCCACCAATTCTGTCATTCATATCCAAAACACTATTGAAATCTCCAATTATGCACCATGGGAGGTCACATGAAGCTGCAATATTCTCTATGTCATTCCACAGGGCACATCTCTTGGCTGCCTCATTCTGACCATACACAAAAGTCACACAAAAATCCTTTAAATCATCAAGTTTCCTGCATCTGCAGTAAACCCACTGGTCAGTCCACTTCACAATGGTTAAACTAACCTTATTTGGTTGCCAAAGTACCCAAATCCTTCCCAAAGGATGAGCTGCATTATTTATAAAAGAAGACCAACCTTGACATATTCTCCTTTCCACATTATTGAAATTAACCTCCCTTATTTTAGTTTCTAGTAAGCCAGCTAAATAAATCTTATTATTCTTCAAGAAAAGAAGAGCCTCTTCTTGTTTATTAGGACTATTAAGTCCTCTCACATTCCAACTACCTATCATTTAAGGAAAGGTCGGTGCCCCTCATAAGGGGCATTCTGTAATACTTTCTGAAGATTCTTCAAGGGATCACCATCCTCTATATCCAATAGAATCCTTCTTGCAGCCTTCTTGACACTCACCTCTGTAAAGCCTTCCTCAGAGGTATTAATAATCTTCCCTTTCTGTACAAGAGTTTCAGGAACCTACTGTTCCTCCCTTGGTTGTTTGGGGCGCCACACCATTTTCTTATCCCTCAGCCTTTTAGGATCCTTCTTTCTGCATAAATCTTGCAAGTGCCCCATTCTCCCACAATGAGAACAAATGCATGGATACCACTCATATTCAACCCTCTGGGACACAGCAATACCTGCTTCATCTAGGAACGCAATCTCTTGGGGAAAATTCTGATGCACCTTAACTTCAACCAAGATTCTGGCATATGCAAATTTAGAGATCTTTGTTGTAGCTTTATCTCTCTTAATTAGTTTACCAATGAGGCTACCCAGTTTGCTTAATCCAGAGAGGCTCCAATACTTCACATCTAAGTTAGTGAACTGAACCCATATTGGGATGTCAGTTAAATCCTCAGTATTGATCTTTAGCCCAGGCTTCCATTGCTGAACCAGTATAGGTTTGTTATCAAAGTAATAATACTTCCTTTTAATTATCTCCTTCATGTCATCCTCCTTGTTAAAGGTGATGATAAACTATCCTTCTTTCAACACTTCCACCTCTTCAATTAGGTATTCTTTCCAGATACGATTAGCAAACCCTTTAACAACCTCAAGTGGTGGATTGGCACCCAAAATACAACATACAATCGTAGATTTCCAGTAATCCTTTGATTCAATAACATCTTCCTTATTTAATTGGGCAACCAAATTACCATTTACCTCAATCGTTGGGATTAACTGAAGTGAGGTCTCTATATTTGCATTTCCAGCTGCAATTTCAGCGTAAGTGGGAGGGGTGGACCCTTCCGGTGTATCCTGGGTCGGATCTTTCATCGCCTCCAGATTGGGCTGCGAGGAGGATATCTCTTTCCCAGGAACTTTGCCTTCTTTCCTCTTACCAGTTTCTTGTGCCTTTTCACTCGAAACGCCAGAAGGTGTGGTGTTCGGAGTTAACTTCTTCCTCTGCCTTCCTCGTCGCCACGACATGCTAGAGAGAGGAAGTGAACTAGATGCACTAATGTTACTTAAGATATATAATGCACTAATGTTACTTTTTTTTATATAATGTTGTTTTATATGACACATTTTCAAGAAAGAAAATTTATATTTTTTCCATACAAATTTCTTTCTTTTACTTATTTTATAGCATAAGAACATAAAATCTAGTTTAATTTATAAGAAAAATATAAATGAGGCATAATTTATACTTAAACTGTGTCTCATTCCAAAAAATATATAGATAAAATATAGTTCGTTTAATTTGAAAGTGTTTGGTCGAAAATATAAGTGAGACATTATACCAAATTTATTTGTACAATATTTGTGTCATTGATAGATCATGTGAAAAGATTTCTGATGGCATATTACCTTGTCTAGTAGCTCCGAATATTGGAAAGTAGCCTTGTTTAGTGTACTTATTCTTATGTGATGTTAGTGGACTAAGGATGTTAATACGATAATGGTATAACAAATAATTACCTTGGGGTTAAATGATTAAGGTTGAGCGCTTTAGGTGTTGAGTATGTACGTACATTAGGTCCTAGAAAAGGTTAGGTGCCCGGGATCACTTAACCCGTGTGCCTGGAACCAGAAGAGTATTGACACCCAGATTGGAAAGGCCACGGACAAAATTCTGAACCTGAAGAGATGGACGCTCCGACCCAGACTCAGATAGGGGAAGTCTTATTGAGTTCTCTCTATACGGAGATTGACTCTACATGATGACGAGGATTAAAGAGACTAAATGATGGAAAATTATTAAGGACACAACTTAGCTCTTTAATAAGATATGATGGAATTATGAAAATAGAATAACTGACTTCTCATATTTATTCATTTGACTTGTATTTGTGATTATGAATTATCATATATAACCTACGTTGTGGTATCATTCAGTGGTTTTGCTGAGCGTGCAGTTGTCTTTGTTGCGTGACTATGCGTAGGTAAGAGACGTGATGGAGCCGATCCCGGAGGGTGCTGAAGTGGAATGACGATGACATAGTGTGGGAACAATGTCATCTTATTATCACTTCTTATATTAAGTTAAACATTTTCGGCTCTTGAACCCACATGTGTACTCTTTTAAATTATTTAAGCTTCCGCAATGTTTTACTTTATTTCCTACTCCAAAACTATTTATGGTATTTGATGGTGTAAATTCCACCGGGTATGAAAAGTAGGTAATTGGATCGGGTTAGGGAGACCTAACCGGGTAAATAAAGATAAGTTTAATAGTAATGAACACAACAAAGAATCACTTAGACCGGGGTAAATCTCCCGAGTCTGAATATATTTCTTACTCTCTTTCTAGAGTGTACAGGGTTTTATGAAAGTAGTAGTGAGTGCACTCTCCTCTCTCTATCGCATATTATTTATAGAGTAGAGGAGGCTCAGTAGGTGCATGGAAGCTGCTCACTTAAGGACAAACAATCAGACAGCATCCATCATCATCCAATCAGAATATATTGATTAAATACAAATCTAGGATGGTGCCAAAGGACTTTTCCACACTGATCTCTTGAGTGACGGGTGTGGGTCCCTCTGCTGATCTCCTAGATACTAGAGTTTGGGGGTGGCAGATTCGTCCGACTGTGATCTATAGGTTGAAACCCAAAACTAAGACTGGTCAAATTGTACGGAGCTCGAAACTTCATTCCTCAAAGCTTTATAGAAAGTCAAAAATAGTGACCGGGTACGAAACCGGAGGGTGACCGGTCACCTATGACTCTTCTAAAATAGCTTCCAAAGTTCATCTTTGAAGACCGAAAACGTGACCGGTCACCTACCGCCGGGACCCAAAAACGCTTATCTTGCCGAGTCCGGAAAAGTGGAACTGTGACCGGTCACCTTAATTTGGGGGTGACCGGTCACCTAGCGCCGTGATCTAAATAGCCGACTTGCCGAATCCAAAAAAGTAGACTCGTGACTGGTTACCTTAATTCGGGGGTGACCGGTCACCTAGCGTCATGCCCCAAATAGCTGACTTTCCGAGTCCGGAAAAATGGACCCGTGACGGTCACCTTAATTTGGGGGTGACCGGTCACCTAGCGCCGTGCTCCGAATAGCCGCCTGGCCGAATCCGGAAGATTCGATCCGTCACTGGTCACCCGACCTCACGGTTGACATGTCACCTCGGTATCGACGAGTATACTTGGGTATGTAATATACCCATCAGTATTGATGTTTTGAATCATTTGAATTATTATTATTAAAATGCTTCTAGCAACGACTTGCCGCAAAATGCTCTAGGAATTTATTTGCCAAGTCCTTCCACCTGTATATAGATCCTTCTGGTAGTTTATAGAATCATTCACACACTTGACCCTCAAGGGTCTCCAAAAAACATTGACAACTTATCTCCTCGGGGTAGGCTAGCATGACCACATTAGTTAGTAGTCGAGACAGATGATCCTAGGGATCGGTCGTCCCGTTGTAAGCTTTGACCTGTGGAGCTTTGAAATTTACGGGGAGGGGAAATGACATCACTTTTTATGAAAAAGGGGTTACCTTGTCCAGGATTGCCTGGCATTAGATGTTCTTGGCATCTACCTTCTTCTTCAACTCCCCAACCATCCTCCATAGGTCGTCTACCTTCTCCTCCTAGACGGAGGTAGTTTTTCGCTTCTTCACTTACGGTTGGGTCCAGGACGTCGTCGAGGACTCCCCTCGTCGTTTGTTTATTTTCACCCTAAGATCCTTCTTTCGGGACGATCACCCATCGTCTAAGCGCTCGAGTGTGGAGACCCGATGTTTCTTTTGTTTGGGGTCTCCCAAATGTTCAAAAGTGGAATGGCGCTCGTATGATAAGGATTCACCTTCCCCGTTCTTCGGTGTCAAGTCGTCGTTCACGAGCGACTTCCATTGGGCTTGGTCGCCGTCTTCTTCTGAGATCGTCGGGTCTTATTCTTCTCGCCAGTCGAGCCCTCTGGTCTTGTGTCGCATGCAATGGGAGCCCGAGTTATGACTTCCCGCGCTATTTCCTTATAAGGGCTAAAAGCAACGACGGCTTCCTTAAACTGTTTAGTGGTGATGTCGATTCGCTCGATGAGGAGTTCAGCTTCTACCATGGAGATTGGTATTTGGCGGCCCCCTGTGACACTACCCTCCTCTTGGTGTGGGTTGTCAATGGGATGATTGGCATTGCTTCACGTTTGCACCATTGTTTTCATTGAGCAAGAGGTTCTCTCGAGCAAATTTTTCAAGCTCTCAATAAGAGGACCAATTTGATGGAAAAGAATTCTAACAAATGATCCGACTTAGAGACAGATCGAGTTATTAAAAATTGTAACAAAGAAATGCATAGAGCTTGAGAATACAGAAACTATGGTGTTGAATTAGCTAGGTTTTGCTTGGGAATTCCAATAGTTTCTCTCCTATTTATAGTGATCACACGCCATACATAAGGTAAATGATAAATAAGGTAACCAGATCATGATTGAGTATCTCCGACTGTTAGCAATCCCGCCCTAATCGCTTGCTTTGGTGTGTTGTTGCCCTCAACTCTCTCGGAATTATGCTGGGACAATTCTGACGGGTTGTTACTCGGAACATCATGTCATCCGTGGGCCTGTTCACGTTACTAAGATATTTTGGGTTGGGCTCCTCTAATGGCCCAATGGCCCATCACTAACTTCTCAGCAAAGTCATCAATTATCTTTGAATCATGCATCTTCATATTATCGAATTCTGCATTGAGGGTTTGGAGACGAGCTTCTCTAACTAGCTCAACCCTCAAGGGACGGGTTTTGATTCCATCCTACAGATCCTTTGTAGTCTCCTGATTACGTACTTGCAATATCAGTTTTTCACGATTTGATTGAAATAGAAGTGTCGTTGCCATATCACTCTTCTCGACATCGGCTCACACTGGTTCAATCGAGTTCCATGCCTTATGAACCCTTAAGACGACTTTTATTCTCATGGCCTATGCAGTGTAGTTCGTAGCACTTAGCATGGGACATTAGACAGATGTAAGTCCAACTCCCAACTTTCGGTTGTAGTGTCTCGGATTCTGTCATATTTTTCTTGGATCAACGGTAGGTCAAGAGTGGTGTAACGGGATCCAGTACTTGAGTTTAGAGCAAGTTTGATTAGACCTTGTTTAATTCACTAACACCACAGCGACTGGATTAAACCTTAATCAAAACACAGCACTAATTTGATTAACTTTCTTATTTAACCAAAAGACAGTAAGGTCTTATCTTAATCAATTCAAGACCCTTAGTTGTGGCTTCTGATCTGTTCGGTTGCACAAATTGTTGAACAACGGCGGCAGGATCTGTACGGCTTCCTTCCTGTTAAACATAATGGATATGGTGCTCTGTGCAGTGAGAGTCTCGATGGCGGTTGCTTCACGGGAGCGGTGGTTTCAGATCCTCGGAACGGCGGCTGTTTCACGCGGTCAGAACCTGGACGGCCGAGCGTGGACTCCAGCGGCGGCGAGACCTCTGCTGCTAGGCGGTGGCGGGACTTGGGCTGCGGCGAATTCTTTGTACAACGAGCTTGGCTAGGACGGCGGCGGCTTGCTCTGACATGTCGTTGCGCAACACCTCCAGACGGCGGTGCGATCTATAAGCTTGGCGCGGCCTTCGCCTCTGCGGTTCTCCTCTGTTGCGATCCTGCTGCGGCAACTCTAGTCTCAGATCGAAAAAGACTGCACACGATTCGGATCTTCACTTGATGTGGCTGTTTTTCTTCACGCACTATGATACTCCGGTAGAAAATTTCAACAACTCTTTACTTCTTTAACTAGAACACAATTATTTGATGAGAACTAGGAGCCTAATACAATAACTCTCATATAAATTTAATATGGGTCTCATATCTGTAACACCCTCCGTCCCGCGAACCCGGTTCACCGCGGCCCAACGAGCCGGAGAGGTTACGTAGACGGTTTAAGGCCGTCTACAAAGAAAACCCTTGCGATGCTTGTAACGGAAAACCCCTTGATATATTTTATTAGATGATAAGAATAAATTCGATTAAAGGAAACGTTTCGTAGCGGAAGTAATTGTGAACAGTAAGCGTTAAGTCTTAAATAAAAAGTACGACAAAGGTGGGTTCAAGCCCAAAACGTTTTTCTATAATTAAATAAATAATTAATCCGACCCGCACTGTCGCTCATCCGCCGCCCCTATCACCCAATCATCCGGGTCAGGCTCCATGATACTCTGGCCTACCTGCGTATAGCAAAGGAAAACAATGCTATACGCTCAGCAAAAGCTGAGTGGTAATCTAACAGTAGAACACATTCACATTGATATAAACATAATTGTACCTGTACTAAAGTACGAGATACCACGCAAATGTTCGATGAATAATAAGTTACAAATAAACAGTGATGCAATGCCAAATATTCATGATGCATGAGTTAGACTGCGCAGGGACCCCCTGCCCTTCGGTGATCATCCCCACGCGGTAGATGAGCCGAGGAACGCCTTAGTCATCCCGATGGAGACTAGAATGTGGGTCATAGCTAAGCCTAGCTACCATGTACGTACACAAGCCCTCCTGATAAAACCCGTTGGATCCCGAAGGCTCTTGGACGGGCCCACGGAAGAGGCGCACTAGGCCTGACCTCTTGCCGCGTTATGCAAGTATGCCATGATCCTAAAACATGCGTCTAGGATGTACATGATGACATGAATGCATTGCTTGATGAATGAAGTTCAACACATACATATAGGTTTGCTTCCGTATGAAAATGATTCGTTCAAAATGATGGCCCTGGGTTCAGAACTGGCTGATAATCGATTATTTGTTGGTGATAATCGATTATCTAGCATGGCAGTTCTTATCCCAAGGTTCTGCAGCCCATGATAGTCGATTATCACTTTGTGATAATCGATTGTCAGGTTGGCCGGATTCTGATGCAAAACCCAGAGATGTCTGTTAATCGATTAACACCTCCAGGTAATCGATTATCAGGTGAAATCCATTTTGTGCTTGAGGTTCAGCAGGGGCTGATAGTCGATTATCCCATTGTGATAATCGATTGTCAACCTCTGCTGCAGAGTTAGGAGTTTCAGCATGGCCAGTTAATCGATTATCAAAACATGATAATTGATTATCAGAGCGCGCTGATTCTTAGTTGTTGTGTGTCCAATTGTTACCCTTCCGTTGGAATTTGAGATAACGTTTTATGTTCTTACGTGAAGAAGTTCATGAGTTTAAGAGGGTTTCAAATGATTACATTAACAAATTTGTAACCGAAAAGTTATAAGTAACGCAAAGTCATGATAATGCGGACACACGTAGGTTTAGCCGGGTAATCCTATGAATATAACGATATGATTGAGCTACGAATTCCGAAGTTAGAGGGCAACGTAATCACCTCTAAATGAAGGGGTTGATGAAACGGAAACGAGATGAACGAATGGATGATGATGAACGATAAACAAACGAATGAATGAACGGTCGAACGGATGAGCGGCTTCATGCGCCAAACCTTCTTCCTTCCTTCTCCTTCCTCTTCTTCACGCCGTTACTCCGTTCTCCTGCCTTACTGTTTGTAGGGCTGGGTCGGGAAAACCGAAAACCGAACCGAAATCGATCGAAACGAGCTAGAAAAAAAAAACCGAACCGAAAAAACCGAAACCGAATGTAAAAAAACCGAACCGAACCGTTATTGTTTGGTTCCGTTTTGGTTTTTACTTTGAAAACCGAACCGAACCGAATAAACCGAACTTATTTATATGCTTCATTTTATTTATATGAGTATATGTGATATGTATAAAAATCATATAAACAAAAATGCAAATAAATTACTAGTCAAATAAAGTTTTTTTCTTAACAATTAATTAAACATTTTAACCATATTATAAACTTTAAAAAATATAAGAATATAAACACCAATAACTAATCCTAATACAGAATTATATAACATTAAAAACTAAAATAAGTAGTTAACATATTTAAATAAAAAAACTTTGATGTTATAATGAAAATGAAAGTATTATATAAAAAAATCCAAATTCTCTACAATTGATTTTATATACGATATCTTTAAGATTATTTAAAATCTTCTAGATGTTTGTTAGGCACTTGACACGTATTTTGTATATATAATTGAACCAATGAGAACACTAACCTTCCGCTCGGCTTTTTTTGTGTGTAAAAATCAAGCAAAAAAACCAAACCCAAACTTACGTATTGTTTTGCTTTGTCGAGTTAGTATTTATACAATTTTTAATGCTTATAAATATTTACTTTTATAAACCGAAAAAACCGAAAAAAACCAAGATAAAAACCGCATAAAACCGAACCGAATAACCAATTGTTTACATATTTTTTATGCAAAACCGAACCGAACCAAACCGCCAACTTACCTTCCGTTTTGTCTTTGGTTTTGGGTAAAAACCGAACCGCCAAAACCGAACTCACCCCTAGCTGTTTGGCCGAACACACCAAAGGAGAAGAGGGAGAGATGGGTGTTATGGTTTGGGAGGTTACACATGATGAGAGAAATAAAGAGGGAAGAGGAGGTTTAATAATTAAGAGAAATGATGGAGAATTAATGGAGAATTAATGGAGAAATAATGGGAAATTAAAATGGAGGAAATGAATGGTGGGGAAGGTGTAGTGGCGTGGGTTTTTGAAGGAATTAAATGGGGAGTTATCTCCCTAAATTCTATTCCGTTGTGTAGAATTTGACCTAAACGGTATGCGTTTTTCCCCCCGAATGGTCCGAATTGAAAACCGATTGCATTTTCAGAAATAACCAGTCAAAACTAAATTTATGACATCTTCAAAATATTTTTCTAGAAACTTTATTTTCAAACTTCCAGATCCATCCCAATCATTAATAAATTTATTTAAGTAATTAATGTCGAGAGACCCGTTATTAAAACATCTTTTATAATTAAAATACATTAGCTTTGGAAATCATTTGAACGGATCAAATTCTCATTATTTATTAATTTAAAATAATGAGTCTCAATAAATAAATAATATTTATTTATTTAAAATTAGACCGGTTTGAGGGCGTTACAATATCACCAAAGCTTGGTGATAGAATTTAGGATGGGTATTGTTGGGTTAAGGAACCCGGGGGCCTAGGAAACTAGGCGGAAGAGTATCGAACTAAGTCGAGAGTGCACAAATTTGGGGTCAAGTAAACTATGAGTGTTGTTGTGCTTGTTAGAACGTAAGTCCCCCTTCCTTCGGAAGGGGTTTATATGCGAATTACAACATAGGGTTCCGATCGTTGGTCCAGAGTCCAACGGTTTGGGCCCACTAAGATTGGGTCGTTCACTGGCGGCGTCCAACCACATCATTATCCCTAGGATTGCTATACAAAGTAGGTTACAAATAGGGTGGCTAGAACAACTCTGCCAGAGGTATGGCAGGGGTCCAATCGTGGGCCCCTTGATCTTGACTCTTTAGCCAGCTTCCTTGTCTGGATCTGGTCTGCTGGCGCCCCGGGCCAAGGCCGAGCACATGCTCTGTCTTCGGGAGTCCCCTGACGGAAGGGCGGCCGAGGGTGGTCCGAGGACGACCGACCCTGCCGAGGCCGAGTGTGAACTGCTTCCGAGATGGCCCTCCCAGGTCTTCAGTTGATTCTTGCTCTGGTTCAGCTAAGTGGGCCTTAACAAGGTTGGGCTGGGCCGCTTTTCCGTTGGGCCGGATACCCCCATTCCCCGGTATCCATCAGGTATAGTTATAACTTGATTGGGTAATAAGACACTTGGGTTGAACCACATTAAAAGATAGAATCCAATCGATTAGTTAGTTCAGCTCAAGAGCTTATATACTGATTATTTTTCTCACACTTTTCCGATGTGGGATACTCTTTAACACTGCCCCGCAAGCGGACAACCGAGCCATTTTGAATCTAACCGGTTGACCACTTGCAGATGAACTCTCATTCCCTTGACTTTCTTTTTTTTTTTAGCGCCAATACCTAAAGGACCACGAGCCGCTGGGTATGAACTTCGAGACGAGCAAACGTGTTAAACGGGCCACATGTCATTGGGTACATACTCCATACGGACAACTGGGCTAAAGACTAAAGGGCCACTAGGAATGAACGTCTAGACGGACACCTTAACAACGAGGTGGCCAAAACCTGCTCCGATACAATGATAGAATTTAGGATGGGTATAGTGATAACTCGATTGGGCAATAAGACACTTGGGTTGAACCACATTAAAAGATTGAATCCAATCGATTAATTAGTTCAGCTCAAGAGCTTATATACCAATTATTTTCCTCACACTTTTCTGGACTCTTTAACACTTGGTTATAATGTTAATCCAAATTGGTCAACAAGTAAGTTAATTGAAGAATTATTGATTTCAATGATTAATGACGGAGGACTAAGCCTCGTATAAATAGTACAAAGGAATCCTAACTACGGAAGGAATCCTATACAAGACAGTTACCATATTAACAATGATTACAACATTAATATTAAATATATATATATATATATATATATATATATATATATATATATATATATATATATATACTATATTTAACATGCACCCAACTACGTGACTGGTGACGGTCGAACGCCGAGACTGTGTCTGAACTCGGAAAATATGAGAGACGGGAGCTCTTTGGTGAAAATATCAGCATACTGAGAAGAGGTGGGAACATGCAGAACTCGAACATGACCAAGGGCAACTTTGTCTCTGATAAAGTGAATGTCGACCTCAACATGTTTGGTGCGCTGATGCTGGACAGGATTAGACAAAAGATATACAGCACTAACATTGTCACATAAGACTAGTGTCGCACATTGGAGAGGTTGATGAAGCTCAAGGAGAAGATTTTGGACCCAGCTGGTCTCTGCTACTGCATTTGCCACGGCGCGGTATTCTGCCTCAGCACTGGAACGAGAGGTGGTGGCCTGTCTCTTGGAGGACCAAGAGATGAGATTTTCCCCAAGGAAAACACAATACCCAGATGTGGAGCGGCGAGTGTCAGGGCATCCTGCCCAATCAGCATCCGAATATGCCTGTAAAGAATCTGTGCTGGTGCGGTGGAGAGTGATGCCATGGGTGGCCGTGCCGTGGATGTAGCGCAGAACCCTCTTCATAGCCGTGAGATGAGAGCTGCGGGGGGCATGGAGATGAAAACAGAGATGTTGTACGGCATATGTGAGATCGGGGCGGGTGAACGTCAGATACTGTAAAGCGCCAACAATGGATCTATAGATGGTGGGATCCGGAAGGGGTGTGCCAGATGTGGCTGACACCTTCGCCTTGGTGTCAACCGGGGTGGAGATAGGCTTGCAGTGAAGCATGTCAGCCCGCTCAAGGATCTCGTGTGCAAACTATGTCTGGTGAAGGAAAAGTCCCCCAGCAGTGCGCTGGACATTAATGCCCAGGAAGAAATTGAGATCCCCCATATCTGTCATGGCAAATTCCCCTTTAAGCTTCTGAGTCAGGCATGTGAGGAGAGCGGTGGAGGAGGCCGTGAGAACAATGTCGTCCACATACAGAAGGAGGTAGGCCATGTCAGCTCCCCAGGAGTAGACAAAGAGAGATGTGTCGCTCTTGCAGCCACGGAACCCCAAAGTGAGAAGAAAACCTGCAAATCGCTGGTACCAAGAGCGGGGGGCTTGCTTGAGGCCATAGAGAGCCTTCTTCAACCTGCAAACATAATTAGGCCAGGATGGATCCTGAAAACCAGAGGGCTGGCTCGCATAGACTGTCTCGTGAAGTGTTCCATTCAGAAAAGCGTTCTTGACATCTAGCAAATGAATGGACCATCCCCAGCTGAGTGCCAGAGTGAGAACAATACGTACCGGACTGAAAGTCTCGTCGTAGTCGATTCCAAAGCGCTGATTAAATCCATGAACCACCCAACGAGCTTTGTACCTGGACAGTTCACCTGTTGGGCCAAATTTGTGGCGAAAAAGCCACTTACCGGTGATAATATTTTGGGAAGGGGAAGGGGGTACTAATTCCCACGTTTCTTTTTTAATCAAAGCATTAAAATCATCACACATAGCATTGTACCAGTTATGGTCCTTAAGTGCACTACAGTAGGTG